CAAACTGACTCATATTTATGATGGTTGCAGTGTCCCAGGGTCACGTGATCCCCTTTTGTGGTCTTCTGACAAGCAAAGTCAGTGAGGAAGCCCCAAAGGTGCTTTTTCAAAAGGCAACTGGACTTTCTTGTTTTTCTTTGAAGACATTTCACTTCTCATACCAGAAGCTCCTTCAGCTCTGACTGGATGGTGGGGAATGGAAGGATTTATACTCCTTACAGACAGCTGGTCATTTGCATCCTTTTAGAGGGTCGTTGAGGCCACTTGGAGGTTTATCTGTGTCCTCAGGGTCACCTGAGTGGGGCAAATGGGCGTGGAGCCTTCTTGGAGATGCTGAAAGGGCTGTGTTGCAGACTGGAGGTGGATGGTGTCCTCAGCAGTTCCAAGAAGGCTCCACGGCCATTTGCGCTACTCAGGTAACCCTGAGGACCCAGGTAAACCTCCAAGTGGCCTCAACAACTCTCTAAAAGAATGCAAATGACCAGCTGTCTGCAAGGAGTGTAAATCCTTCCTGGATGAGAAGTGAAACATCTTCAAAGAAAAACAAGGAAGTCCCGTTGCCTCCCGAAAAAACACCATTGGGATAACTATGTCAACGGGGAAGCCAGATTCACTTTAACAACCGTATAACTAACTTAACTGCAGTGATTCACTTAACAACTGTGGCAAGAAAGGTTGTAAAAAGGGCAAAACTCAACAATTCTCTTGTTTAGCAACGGAAATTTGTGCTCAGTTGTGGTCGTAAATTGAGGACTACCTGCATTCAGAAATGCCCACAGAACTCTGTAAAGCTTAGAGCAGTGGTTCTCAACCTTTTTAATGCCGCGACCCCCAACCGGTCGTAAGTCGAGGACTAAACCAGTCGTAAGTCGAGGACTTTCCCTGCCCGGGAATGCCGCGCATGCATGATGCCGCCCCCTGTGCCAGCCGAGGCGTAGCTGGCAAGCGGCAGAGACAGAGCAGGCCGACCACTGGCTGGGCCACCAGCTGGCCCAGCCCAAGGGAGGTAAGGCACCCGCCGGAAAAGGGGGGAAAAATGGCGGACAGCCTTGCTTCGTGACCCCCGTGAAATGGTCGATCGACCCCAAATGGGGTCGCGACCCATAGGTTGAGAACTGCTGTTTTAGAGGGTCGCTGAAGCCACTTGGAGGTTTATCTGTGTCCTCAGGGTCACCTGAGTGGGGCAAATGGGCGTGGAGCCTTCTTGGAGATGCTGAAAGGGCTGTGTTGCAGACTGGAGGTGGATGGTGTCCTCAGCAGGTAAACCTCCAAGTGGCCTCAACAACTCTCTAAAAGGATGCAAATGACCAGCTGTCTGTAAGGAGTGTAAATCCTTCCTGGATGAGAAGTGAAACATCTTCAAAGAAAAACAAGGAAGTCCCGTTGCCTCCCGAAAAAACACCATTGGGATAACTATGTCAACGGGGAAGCCAGATTCACTTTAACAACCGTATAACTAACTTAACTGCAGTGATTCACTTAACAACTGTGGCAAGAAAGGTTGTAAAAAGGGCAAAACTCAACAATTCTCTTGTTTAGCAACGGAAATTTGCGCTCAGTTGTGGTCGTAAATTGAGGACTACCTGCATTCAGAAATGCCCACAGAACTCTGTAAAGCTTAGAGCAGTGGTTCTCAACCTTTTTAATGCCACGACCCCCAACCGGTCGTAAGTCGAGGACTAAACCAATCGTAAGTCGAGGACTACCCAACCGGTCGTAAGTCGAGGACTTTCCCTGCCCGGGAGTGCCGCGCATGCGTGGTGTCGCCCCCTGCGCCAGCCGAGGCATAGCTGGCAAGCGGCAGAGATAGAACTCTATAAAGCTTAGAGGCTATTAGAGATTGCATTTCTGGGCATAAGTTCCACCTGAAAATGTGTTTTCTTCCCAATACTGTCTATCCTTGTTTAACAACTACAATTGGTGCTGGAACAATGGCCTCTAAGTGAAATGGTCGCTCAGTGAACCACATGACAGAGAGAGAGACACAGAGAGAAAAAAAGACAAACTGAATATTGCTAGTTACTGCTCTTCAGTTCTCTTTTGCAGCCACACTAGCATTGTTCTCTCCCTAGTGTGTGTTGTTGTCAGGTGCAGAAATTTGGATGTAGGTTCACACAATATTTTTTTTTACTATTTTTATTTACCATCAAATCTTGCAAATGGTTGCTGTTCTAAGATGCAGACTTATGACTGCAATGGAGCCCAAATTTTCTATTGTTATTTGAGACATTTCAGTTCATTTTGCCCATTTTTACAACCTTTCTCGCCACAGTTCTTAAGTTAGTAACTAGTTAAGTGAATTTGGCTTCCCCTCCCCCCCTTGGCTTTGCTTGGCAGAAGTTCGCAAAAGGGGAATCACGTGACCCCGGGACCCTGTGACCGTCATAAATGTGAGTCAGTTGCTAAAGTCTGAATTTTGATCATGTGACCCTGGGGATGCAGCAACAGTCGAAAAATGTGAAAAATGGTCATAAGTCACTACTTTTTAATGCTGCTGTAACGTTGAACGTTAAATGAACTGTTGTAAGTTGAGGACAAGCTGTACTTGCTAAATGAGGACTACCTTCCTATGTTTTTAGGAATACTTCTAAAGCAGGGGTCTCCGTCCCCGGTCTGTGGACTGGTACAAGGGCCCCAGCATGCCAACAACCAGTCTGCACAAACAAGCAAAGGCCCATCTGCAGGATGCAGGCAGCACATAAAATCACACACCTTCCGGTCCGGAGAAAAACCTATCTCAGTGGTGGCGAACCTATGGCACGGGTACCGTTGCCCCAGCCTTGCTTTGCCCCTCGACCCCCTCCTTTCCAGCAACCCCCCCTGAAGGAGACTCGCTCCCGAGCGTGGCCCACACGGAGCAGCGCAGCCAAGGACATGGCAGCCAGGCAGCATAGACAAGACTCTGCCCTCACGCCCCATCATGCAGTTGATGCTGCAGGATGCGGGCAGAGGGCTCGGCTGCCATGGCACTGCTGGGCTGCCTGGGCGATCTGCGGTGGGCCCTGGAGGCGGTGAGTGGTCCTGTGGGCAGGTGGGGCGGGGGATGAGGGGTGGAGCGGGGGCAGGGCCAGTTTTTGGGCACTCAGTCTCTAAAACAGTGGTTCTCAACCTGTGGGTCGGGACCCCATTTGGGGTCGAACGACCATTTCACGGGGGCCGCCAAACAACGCAGTCCACCATTTTCCCCCTCCTTTTCCTTAGCTGTGCTACTCCCTTTTATTCTATTGGCTTTTGAAAGCCAATAGAATAGACTCTCTTGAATAGAGTCTAATTCTATTGGCTTTTGAAAGCCAATAGGAATTGTCCAGGTTGTCTCTGCCCTGCTGAGCCCGCCAAAAGTCCCATTCTGCAAACGGTGCTGCACCAGTTGAGTAGTCCTCGACTTACGACCGGTTGAATAGTCCTCGACTTACGACCGGTTGGGGGTCGCGGTATTAAAAAGGTTGAGAACCACTGCTCTAAAAGGTTCACCATCACTGACCTATCTCCACTTAATCAGTCCCTGGTGCCCAAAAGGTTGGGGATCTCTGTTTTAAAGTGAAATTTCCAAGGAATGATGTTTTTTCATTTACCTAGTTACTTCAGAGAGCACCAAGGACCCCTCAGTTTCATTTCTTGTCATGCTTTGCAAGGCAACGACGGAGTTCCCAAAGCGTGCTCCCCTCCCAAAAGTTCACCCGGGTCTGTCACAACCTCCCCTGCTCACCTCTTCGGTCCCTGCAAGCTGCGACATCCGGATCAGAGTCAGAACAGGGGTTCCTTGAAATCTCTCTAATTGATAATCCAAGCAGCAGCGTCGATTCAGAAAACCTGAACGGGTCTCAGATGATTCCTGCAGAAAATACACGAAACAATTCAAGCTGTGCATGCGTTCTTAATTTTGGATTGGGAGGCGCGTATAAACTAGTTTAAAAAAAAAACTTTAAAGCTGGGGGGAGGGAGGCTATTTTTTTTTTAATTTTTATGAGATTTTTGTGCTGCCCATCTTGTTTAGAAGCATCTTACGAATGAAATATTGTATTTTCTGAATATTTATTTTTGATAGCAATAAGCCTGTCTGGGTGTGTGTGTGTGTGTATACACACAGAGAGTCCTCAACTTACAACAGTCCATTTAGTGAAGTTACAATGGCGCTGAAAGTGACTTATGACCATTTTGCATACTTACAACCACTGTAGCATCCCCTTGGATCCAAATTTGGGTCCTTGGCGACTGACTGATATTTATGACGGCTGCAATGTCCTAGAGTCATGTGATCACCTCTCAGTAGCTTATGACAAGCACAGTCAACGGGGAAGCCAATTTCACTTAACAACCATATTACTAAAGAACTGCAGTGATTCACTGTGGCAAGCAAGGTTGTAAAATGGGACAAAATTCACTTAACAAATGTGTCGCTTAGCAACAGAAATTTTGGGCTCAATTGTGGTAAGTAGTACCTGTATCTGTGCATGTGTGTGTATATATATATATATGTGTCCGTGTATATATATATGTGTGTGTGTGTGTGTGTGTGTGTGTGTATATATATAAAGCATTGATGAACTTACATGAATTCTGTTCTTTTTATTTCTTAATTTCAGTGGCTTTTGCACATTTTTAAAATTCTATTTTTAGTCAGCACTATTTTCTATTCAAGCAAGCGACTGGTCTTCCTATATATAGTCGCATCTAAGGTGGGCCAAGATATGCTCAGGGCGCATGCGCCCTTCCAGCGCTCTCTGGCTTCTCCGCTTTGTTTCGCCGTTCCCCACGTCGCGCACGCGCCCCGTCCGCCTCTTCCCCATTAGGCCGCGTAAGCAAGAACGCGCATGCGCAGTGATCCCTCACCAGGCCAGCTCTGCGCGTGCGTAGAGCGAGATCACCCGCCATTTTATGCGTGCCGGGAGCGCTCGTGCGCCCCGTATAGACGTTATCTTTTTTTCGGAAATTTGTTTTTAATAGTTTTGGGAGTTAATTCGTTATTTTTGCGAGCCAAAGTTCCGCCCGAGAAGCCGCTTGTTTTTTTTTTCTCCACAGTCTTCCCTCATGGCGGCAGAGAATCAGGCCGGGCTCGCCGCAGAAGCGACGGTTTCCCTCAGCGGTGGCGGCTCGGAAAACTTGGGAGGCGGCATGGCCCGGCGGCGCCTTAGCGACCTGCGGGTGATCGATTTGCGGGCCGAGCTGAAGCAGCGCAACCTGGACAGCGGAGGCAACAAAAGCGTCCTTCTCGAGCGGCTCCGGAAGGTAAGAAGAGCGCTGAGCCTTCTTGGGAGGGCTGGCGGGGCTGAAGGGGTTAAATCCACTGCGCATGCGCCCCAGCGCAACGTTCATCTCTGGCTTGGTGCGGAATGTAGACTCTCTAAACCAAAGAGTCGCCTTCGGAACTGGACATTAAGGGATTCCTGCGAAATTCGTGGCTACTGCTTGAATCTTCGACGACGCTGGGTCTGGTTTTAAGGTCTTGCAGAATTGGTGGCTGGTCCGTCACTAAAAGTTTTTGAGAATGGACAACCATTTAACAGAATAACAGTTGGAAGCGACCTTGGAGGTCTTCTATCACAGTGTTTCTCAACCTTGTCCATTTTAAGGCATGTGGACTTCAAATCCCACATGCCTTAAAATGGACAAGGTTGAGAAACACTGTTCTATCTAGTCCAGGGCTCTTCAAACTTGGCCCTTTTATGACTTGTGGACTTCAACTCCCAGAATCCCTCAGCCAGCATGCCTGGCTGAGAAATTCTGGGAGTTGAAGTCCACAAGTCATAAAAGGGCCAAGTTTGAAGACCCCTGATCTAGTCCAACTCGCTGCTCAGGCAGGAAGCCCTGTACCATTCCAGACAAACGGTTGTCCAATCTCTTTTTAAAAACTTCCAGTGTTGGAGCATTCACAACTTCTGGAGGCAGGTTATTGCACTAATTAATTGTTCTTCACTGCCAGGAAATTTATCTGAAATGGTATAGGGTCCCTTCCAACTCTCTTATCCTGATAACTAAGGGAGTTATATAAAACTCTCCCAACCCATTATGGCTTCGGGGAGGGAAAAGTTCAAATCCCGCTGGATGCCGGAATCCATGTAATTAGCAAGAGTACAGGATAGGAGAGATTTGATATTGCTTTCTTCCTCCTGTGGTTCTCCCCACCCCAATTTTCCATTCTAATTGACAGCTTTGTGCTTTCCTGATGGTCTCCTATCCAAGCACTAAGAAGGTCGATCCTACTTAGCTTTCAGTGGGGAGAACTCAACTAAGCTCTGCCCCTGCTGCAGCTAAAGTGGATGTACTTCACCCAACATTTTGTAAGAAAAGTAAGGAAATCATATTATGGCAGGGGTATACAACCTTGGCAGCTGTAAGACTTGTGGACTTCAACTCCCAAAATTCCCAGCCAGTCATATCACCCACTAATGCAGTGGTTTTCAACCTGTGGGTCGGGACCCCATTTGGGGTCAAACGACCATTTCACGGGGGTCGCCAAACAACGCAATCTGCCATTTTTTCCCCCCTTTTCCTTAGCTGTGCTACTCCCTTTTATTCTATTGGCTTTTGAAAGCCAGTAGAATAGACTCTCTTGAATAGAGTCTAATTCTATTGGCTTTCAAAAGCCAATAGGAATTGTCCAGGCTGTCTCTGCCCTGCTGAGCCCGCCAAAAGTCCCATTCTGAAACGGTGCTGCACCAGTTGAGTAGTCCTCGACTTACGACCGGTTGAGTAGTCCTCGACTTACGACCGGTTGGGGGTCGCGGCACTAACGATTAATAGAGGAGTGTCCAATCTTGGCAATTTTAAGACCTAAAATTACCAAGTTGGACCCTCATATTAATGCTTAGTGGGCAATATCAATCAGAACGGAGCTGGAAGGGATCTTGGAGGTCTTCTAATCGAACCCCCTATCCCATTCCAGATGGGATGTCCAGATTGCGGTCTCAAACTTTTCCATCTATAATAAAAGATTAGAATATTTAGGGCTCTAGCTTGGATAGAAGGAGGGAAATGATTGAAGTGTATAAAATTATGCAAAGGATTGGGAAAAGGTTTAACCAAGACTCATTTGTACAATTTATCTGTGGAATTTATTATTGTGAATTATGATGATAGCTAGTCACAGAATATGGCTTGAAAAGGGGATTGGATACATCTTTGGATGAGGGGACAGTCTATCATATTTGTCTTCAAGGTTCAGTATTACCTCTGGGCTGAGCGCTTGTCTCTATGCCAGTTGCAGAGCAACCAAAGGGAAATAGGGAAGTGTCTCCATTTGCTGCTTGCCTGGAGGCATCAGGTTATCTAGCTCAGTGGTTCTTAACCTTTTTGAAGGAATCGCCCCCTTGAGCCAATGAGGAAGTTGTCATCACCCGCCTCCCCCAACATAACCTCTCAATCACAACATAGGAAATAATTCTTCAATTTATGCAAACACTTTTTTTGTTTTCTTTAAAATTGTCATCAGGACATATTGATGCAAATAATTTATTTCCAGTCTTTTTCCCATATCTCCCATATTCTGGCCAATGGCGTGCCACTGTATGGGTAGAGGCTGCTGCACAATGCGCATGAAGATAAGCAATGTGTCTTCACATATGTGTGGTGTTCTGTACTGATGCTAGCTGGAGGAACATTTGAGAACACAACTCAATCCACTAATAGCGAGCGATCTGATGTTTTTCTCCGACAGATATACAGCGATTCACTGTACGAAAAAGTCTCAAAAGTGTCCCCAAAACTTCTCGCTCCATCATCCCCATATCACCCCCTTTTCGTTCCTTTGCCCCCGCATTGACCCTTTTCGTTCCATCGCCCCCCTAAAAAATGAAATCGCCCCCTGGGGGGCAATATCACCCAGGTTAAGAACTACTGATCTAGCTTAAGGAAGAACAAGCTGGACTAAGATGATGCAGCCAACTCTTCTTATCATGCTTGGTGCTATACCTAGATGTATGCTTGTTTGCCTCCCTGGGCAGAAGTGAGAGCTGCCTCTAGGAAGCAAATAAACAGAAATAGTCTGAGCCATGTTGGATTAGGCCAGAAGTCCATCTTAGTCCAGCATCCTGTTCCACAAGTCAACAACAGCTGTGCATGTCCCTCAGCTGATTATGAAGGCAGAAAAAGTCATGCAGGTTTTTTCTCTAGAACCTTATAGAGGCCATCCTTTGGTGCCACTGCCTTCTTTCTGTCCATACGACGTGAGATAAAATTTCCCACTTTGGGCTTTATTCTGGATTTTTTTTTAAAAAAAAAGCACTTTAAAAATGCATCTGTATGAAACAGAAGTACACAATGCTTACGTTTGCTTCTAAGTACAGACAATCGTCAACTTACAACCATTCCTTTAGTGACTGTTTGAAGTCACAACAACACTGAAAAAAGTGACTTACAACCATTTTTCACACTTAACCACCGTTGCAGCGTCCCCGTGGTTACGTGATCAAAATTCAGACTCTGGGCAACTGGCATGTATTTGCGACGGTTGCCATGTCCTGGGGTCACGTGATCCCCTTTTGCAACCTTCTCTCCAAGCAAGAGTTAGTGGGGGAAGCCAGATTCGCATAACAAGCGTGTTGTCAAGTTAACAACTGCAGTGATTCACTTCACAACTGTGGCAAGAAAGGTCGCAAAATGGTGCAAAACAAGCCTCTCTTGCTTCACAGCGTAAAATTTTGGGCTCAGTGGTGGTCGTAAGTTGAGGACTACCTGTAATTCATTCAGGCTGCAGAAATGTCAAGGCAGCAAGTTCAAATAAACTAGCTTTCCTGCAATAAGTTAATCAATGACCGTGGAGGTTTGTTTTCACAATTTTGTGTCCATTTTCTGCTTCCCTTTTAATTAACGGTGCCAATGAATTTGTATGGCCATCCGTACAAGTTTTTGGTGAGCTTTTGTTAGCCTAGAAAGGAAATTGCTTAAGAGCCAGATTTTTCCACATGAAATATAATCTGACTAGAGTGACACACAGAGAGGGAATTACATGCCTAGCATTTCAAATGCTCAGGAAGCTTTGGGTATTATATAACTTTAATATTCCCAATTATCATTTTAAGCCCGCTCATACTTGCAGGAGAAATGGGAGGAGCTTGCTTGCTCGTTTTTTTCTGTCGGAAGCATCACAAGTAAGGCATATTATACGACATAACATTTAAAATACAAAATACCAAGATTAAAACAGATACACGTTAAATAGATCTTGCCCAGTAAATTAGCAACGTTATTCTGTCGCACTGCCATGAGGTCCTCCAGCATGCACTCATCAGGACATACAGAGTCTTCGCCTGAAATCATTTGCTACAAGGCTTCCCAACCTTGGCAGGTTTAACATGTGTGGACTTCTACTCCCAGAACTGGCTGGGGAATTCTGGGAGCTGAAGTCCACACGTCTTAAAATTACCAAGGTTGGGAAACCCTGATTTGGTAAGCTTGTAACAAAAAAAAGGGGGCCCTTTTAGATATATGATCCGCGCTGTTTCCATGAATACAGGTAGTCCTCGGCTTACAATAGTGCACTTAGTGACCGTTTGAAGTTACAATGTAACTCATTTAACAGCTGTAGCAAGAAAGGTCGTAAAGTGGGACAAAGCTCACTTAAAAAAAGGTCTTGGCAACAGAAATGTTAGGCTCAATTGAGGTCGTATGTCGAGGACTTCCTTTATGTAGGCCCATCACTGGTAGACTCATATCCCAGTGCTTTGCTTCCTTGCCCTAATAAAGACCCAAAATATAGCGGGTGACATTTACGCAATTGGCATTGAACCTGAATGTGACAAGCTGCAAGGCGGCTGTGTTGCTTGGCACCCTCATTAAAACAGCATCAAAAGTGGATGCAGCATTTCAAGTGTGGTCTTACTAAGGTTTTATAAAGTGGTACTAATACTTCATGTGATTTTGATTCTCTGCCTCTGTTTATGCAACCAAGGATTGTATTTGCTTTTTTTGGCTGCTGCCACACACGGCTGGCTCATATTTCAGTGATCTAGGACTCCAACATCCCTCTCACAGTTGCTGTTTTTGAGCCAGGTTTTGCCCAATCTGTACTTATACCTTTGGTTTTTCTTGCCTAAGTGTAAAACCTTGCTTTTCTTTACATTAAATTTCCTAATAACAACAACAACAACAACAACAACAGCAGCAGCAGAATAGACGAGAAAGAACTGGAGAAGATAACAAAATACAAAGATCTACAAATAGAAATAGAAAGACTGTGGCAAAAGCAAGCAAGGGTAGTACCAATAGTAATAGGCTCCTTGGGTGCAATCCCAAAACAACTGGAGCACCACTTGAACACCATTGGCATTGACAAATTCGCTATTAGTCAATTGCAAAAGGCGGCCTTATTAGGAACTGCTTCCATCCTGCGACGATATCTGTAATACCATCAAACATCCACATCTGCCTATCCCAGTTCCTGGGTAAGGACTCGATAGGTAGACAAAATGCCAAATCCAGTCTGAACATCTGGCTGACTGTGCGATGATCGATAAATAATAATAAATAATAATAATAATAAAAAGTTGGAAAGGACCTTGGAGGTCATCTAATCCAACCCCTGCTCAGGCAGGAAACCCTATACCATTTTGGACAAATGGCTGTCCAGTCTCTTCTTAAAAACTCCTAGTGTTGGAGCATTCACCGCTTCTGGAGGCAGGTTGTTCCACTGGTTAATTGTTCTAAGTATCAGGAAGTTTCTCCTTAGTTCTAGGTTGCTTCTCTCCTTGATTAGTTTCCATCTGTTGCTTCTTGTCCTGCCTTCAGGCGCTTTGGAGAATAGCTTGACTCCCTCTTTGGGGCAGCCCCTGAGATATTGGAAGACTGCTATCATGTCCCCCCTCATCCTTCTCTTCGTTAAACTAGATATACCCAATTCCAGCAACCGTTCCTTATATGTTTTAGCAACCAGTCCCCTGATCATCTTTGTTTCTCTTCTCTGTACTCTTTCTAGAGTCTCAACATCTTTTTTACAACGTGGTGACAAAAACTGGATGCAATATTCCAATTACCAAGGCATTGTAAAGTTGTATTAATACTTCACATGATCTTGATTCTATCCCTCTGTTAATGCAACCTAGCACTGTGTTGGCTTTTTTGGCAACTGCAGCACACAGCTGGCTCATATTTAAATGATTGTCCACTAGGACTTTTGTTGGATAGGGCCCATTGTTCAAGTCTGTCAAGATCATTTTGGATCCTGAGGTCTTCTTGACAACACTGTCTTATTATAAATTAAAAGTTCCCACAATATTGTCTTATGCCCTAGGACAGGGGTGTCAAACTCACAACATCACATGACGTGTCATGATGTATCGTGAATTTTTTGCCATTGCCGGCAATGGGCTGGGCGCGGTTTCGCTATGATGCATCTGGCCCGCGGGCTGGCAGTTTCACACCTCTGCCCCAGGATGTCAAATCACGTAGGGCTGCATTACTATTATCCTTCTCATTTTTCCTATCACCTTTAGCATCCTATGACTATCACTTTGTTGTTTGTATCATATGATTTATGTTGATTGCTTTTATTTAGTCTCCTATGACTATCTCTGAGTGTTGTATCTTATGATTTATGATGATTGTATTTTATGATTATAATCATGATTTATCACTTATTGCTTGTATGTACACTGAGAGATGCATGGGAGACAAATTCCTTGGGTGTCCAATAAAGAGTTGAATTCTATTCTATTCTATTCTATTCTATTCTATTCTATTTTCTGTTCTATTTTCTGTTCTATTGTGTTCTATTTTTTATTCTATTCCTATTCTATTTTCTAGTCTTCTGTTCTATTTTTTATTCTATTCTGTTCTGTTCTATTCTATTTTCTATTCTGTTCTATTCTGTTCTATTTTTTATTCTATTCTATTTTCTATTCTGTTCTATTTTTTATTGTATTCTATTCCTATTCCTGTTCCTATTCCTATTGTCAATGGCCGTCACGGATGGAACACTGATTATTACAACTTTTCCTGTGTGGTATTTTCTGCCAAATTCAACACCATTCAGCTTATCCAAGCTGATTTTGTCTCTTTCTAACAGGCTATTGAGGAAGAAGGAGGACACCCTGATGAGATTCCAGTGGAGTCAGAAATAATCCCCAAGAAAGTGCCAAAGAGAAGCAGCAAAGGTACACAAGGAAATAGATAAAGGTGAAGGGTTAAATTGCTTAATGGACATTCTGCTCTGCAAATGCTGAGATATTTATTTAAGAGGATGGCCTCTTAACATTGGCTGTGTCAGGGAAGTAACAGAAAGATTGAAAACTGCTTCTCTAGTTCAGTTTCTCAGCCTTTTTTTATTCCGATAGTTTTTATTGATTTGTCAAAATATAAAATACAAAGAGAAATTAAAAAAAAATAATAAGAAAACTAGAAAAAAGAGGGAGGGAAAAGAAAAAAGAGTGTGAGAAAAGACGAGAAAAGAAAAAGGCACCAACTTCTGACTCTCTTTAGCACAGTAGAAGATAACAACATTACAATCACAACTTTTTGCTTTTATACAACGACCCTCCAGACCTTCTAGAAGAGCCTAAAGAGTTGGCTGTGGCAGTTGGCCTGGGGCTTCAAAGGAGGAGCTTCATGTTAGAGGGGGCTTATAGATCAATGTCAGACCCCACCTTCCCCCCATCGCTCCCTCTCCATTTTTTAGCTATCGTATTTTATACTTGGTAGTTTATAGTTTTGTGGCGTTCTATTTAGTTTTTTTTTTTTTTTTTTACTATTGTAAGCAGCCCATGGTTATCCTGTGATAAGATGGGCGGTCAATATATTTGATAGATAAATAGACAGACAGACAGAGGTAGAGATACTAGTAGATAGATGGATGGATGGATGGATGGATGGATGGATGGATGGATGGATAGATAGATAGATAGATAGATAGATAGATAGATAGATAGATAGATGATGGGTAGGTAGATGGGTAGGCAGGTGGATGGATGGATAGATAGATAGATAGAGAGAGACAGAGACAGAAATAGCACGTAGACTTACATACCGCTAATAGATAATAGATATAGATGGATGGATGGATAGATAAATAGATAGATAGACAGACAGACAGACAGACAGACAGACAGACAGACAGAGAAATAGCAGACATATACCGCAGATAGATGATAGATAGATAGATAGATAGATAGATAGATAGATAGATGATGGATGGATAGAGAGGAAGAGAGAGAGAGAGAAATAGCACTTAGACTTACATACCACTAATAGATAATAGATATAGATGAATGGATGGATAGATGGATGGATGGATGGATGGATGGATAGATGGATGATAGGTAAGTAGATAGATGGTAGGTAGATTAGGTAGGTAGGTAGGTAGGTAGATAGATAGATAGATAGATAGATAGATAGATAGATAGATGATGGATAGAGAGATAGGGAGGAAGAGAGAGAGAGAAACAGAGACAGAAATAGCACTTAGACTTACATACCATTAATAGATAATAGATATAGATGGATGGATGGATGGATGGATGATAGGTAGGTAGGTAGGTAGGTAGATAGATAGAAAGAAAGAAATAGCCCTTAAACTTACATACCACTCCATAGTGCTTTACAGAGTCAGCATATTGTCCCCAACAATCTGGGACCTCAGAAGAGTAGAAGGCTGAGTCAAACTTAAGTGACCAGAATTTGCCTGCAATACTGCTTTCTAAACACTGCGCCACCATGGCTCATAGATAGGTAGATAGAGAAAAAAAAAAAAGAAAGAAAAAGAAAGAAAAATGCATACGTGTGTGTATTCTATTCCTTTTAGGGCAGAGGCCTGAGGAAGAGGGAGTAGAGGACAATGGCCTTGAAGAGGAATCCGGAGATGGGCAGGTATGACGCACAAACGACGGCCACCCGATGCCCCGTAAGACTTCTGTGTCGGAATTAATATCTGTGCTCGGAACCCCAGCAACTATTATATGTGGCTTTTTTTTTCTTTTTGCAGGAGGATATTGATGCAAGTTTGGATAACTTGCAGGATATTGACATGATGGATATTAGTGTGTTAGATGAAGCGGTCATAGATAACAGCAGTGGTGTAGACTGCCGAGAGGATAGCAGTGCTGATAGTAGACTTGACTCCCTCTTTGACAGTAAGGAGAGTGCTGATGCAGAAAGTCGAGGACTTCCAGAGCAGCTGACTGCAGGTGCTCTAGGTAACATGGAGGCTGCTCTGCCCTTATCAGACATGTCAGAAGAATCAAGAGAAATACCAGTAGCCATGGTAGGCACCACCTTCGGGAGTCGCTAAATTCACCATCCTTATACGTGTTTCTTTTTCCATTTTCTTTCTCTCCCTCCCCCCCCCTTTAAAAGAACAGAAATGGCCCAGGATGGAAAAATAAAACCCTTTGAATCCCCTCCAGCTTTCCTTAGGTGTGTGAATTCATAGCCGTGGCATCCTTGTTTGCAACTTGTAGGTCAGTGATGGCGAACCTTTTAGAGACCAAACAGCAACCCAAAACCCACTTATTTATTGCTGGGTACCAGGTGGTGTGGCCCACTGGGTGGGTGTGGCTGTGGTGGTCATGGCAGACTGGGTAGGTGTGGCCAAGGTGGCCGTGGTCACCTCGATGTTGCTCGTGGGGATGCCTGTGGGAGCCGAGCAGGATTGGGGGAGCTCCAGGGGTCTCTGGCAGGTGGGGTGGTGGGTAGGAGGCTCGTCCTGCGGGGTGAGGTGAGGCAGGGTGGGGGTGCCATTATCTCAGGGCAAGGCAAGCTAGGGGCTGGGGCAGCTGCTGCCTGACACCATCGGCCCCTGCACACAGAGGCTAGCGAGCGCATGGGGGCCGACAATGTCCATCAGCAGCCACAGCCTTCTGGCCCCTCAACTGGCGCACTCTGGGGCTCCGTAGCCCGCCACCAGCAGTTCAGAGAAGTGCCCACAGAGAGGGCTCTGAGTGCCGCCTCTGGCACGCGTGCCATAGGTTCACCACCACTGTGCTAAACTGTGACCTGCTCAATCATTTGTGAGCTGAATAAATTATCGGCTAGATTCACACAAGTCAACCCTAAATAATTCTATTAATTTGCAGAGATGGAGCTTTGCAAAGAGGAATTTAAAATCCATTCCACCCGACTCGCGACACAAATCTGCATTCAATAGTTCAGGCTAGCTCTGGATCCTTCCCTGCTCCACAATTTCAATCTAGTTAAAAGGCTTTGCCACTTGGAATTGGGTCACGGGATTGAATAGCACTATCACCCCAATTACAGGTAGTCCTCGATTTATAACCATTGATTTGGTGAAACAACATTACACGACACCGAAAAACGTGATTTACAACTGATTCTCCCACTGTAATGGTCCCAGCCTCCCCTTGTTCAGAACAAAATACCAACCATGTTTGGGGGAATAATGGATCAAGGAGACAGCGACTAATTTTCTGCTCTTGTTTTAGTGAAAGAACGGCAGCTTTTCGGGAAATGTGAAGAATTTTTTTTCTTTGTTTGTTTCTTTTAGAGAGAGAGTGAAGAAGCCAGCAACACCATAGATCTATCATCTGATGATTTTGCAAACATGAAGGTATTTCAACTCTTATTAAGAGATTAATCATATAAGCGAAGGTGATTGACAACTGTTCTTCAGTTTTCTGTTATTCCCGCAGGGGGAAAAAAAAATCCTGTACAGTTGTAAAAAAAAACCTGTTCTTCTTTGGTTAGAACAAAAAAGAGTTATGTTCCAAGCCAGGTTATGTCCATACCGTGGTTTTTGCAAGCTTTCATCAGATTTAGATGCTTTGCCTTCCATTCCTGGCATGAATGTGGCTACAGAAATATTTGGGGTTTTGCAACAATGTGATGAATTTGGATTTTTTTTTTCCTTCAAGAAAAGTTTAGATTTTTTTTTTTACTTCTACATCAGAACTGGAGTTCTGTTGCAAGTGGGTATTGAAGGAATGTTGAAATCTCCTGCCTAAGAAGAGACTGGACAGCCATTTGTCCGAAATGGTATAGGGTTTCCTGCCTGAGCAGGGGGGTTGGACTAGATGACCTCCAAGGTCCCTTCCAACTTTACTATTATTATTAAATAAGATTTGGGAGTACATATTTCAACTGTATTTGGATATCTGCATCCAGAAATCTCTAATAACCTCATAGCCTCCTCGACAGAAACATTTCCAAGTGCCCCCCCCCAAAAAAATTAATATGTAAAGTATTTAGCTCATAGTTTTGAAATTAAGTAGCAAATAGCAACTCACAATTGATGCATTGAAAATATTTGGGTTTCATTAAAGTAATCTTCAACTTATGAGTACGATTGGGACTGGAATTTGGTTGCTAAGCGATGTCATTAAGTGAGTGATCACATGATCAGACCTGGTTTTACAACCATTTTTATACTATGTTGTTAAGCGAATCCCCTGGGTGTTAAGGGATTCACTCAGCCATTAAGCAAATCTGGGTTGCCTCATTGACTTTGCTTGTCAGAAGCTGGCTGGGAAAGTTGCAGATCAGGTGATCCCAGGATGCTGCAACCATTATCATTGTGAGTTGGTTACCAAATGCCTGAATTGTTACCTTACGATTGTGAGGTAATGATCATAACTACAAGGGTGGATATAAGCCATTTTTTCCCAAGACCGTCGTAACTTTGAACCAACAAATGGTTGTAAGTCGAGGACTACCTGTAGGCAATCATGAAAGGTCGCAGTCTGAATTAGATGAACGTTGCCCATCCATCTCTTTAAAGGCCAGTTAGATGTTGCCCTTTGTATTTGCTGGCCTGGGCAACTAGGAGCATTATGATGGCCTTTAAATACAATTTACTGACATTGTTGTAGTGTAGAATAGTGCCCCCCCCAACCTTTTAGGCACCGGGGACCGCTTCCGTGGAGAGAGGTTTTTCCGTGGCCCGGAGGGTGTGTGGTTTTGTATGATGCCTGCACCCCACAGATGGGGCTTTGCTTGTCTGTGTGGACCGGTTGCTAGCATGCCGCGGCCTGGTACCGGTCCACAGACTGGGGATTGGGGACCCCTGATGTAGAACAGTGCCCTCCTAACCTTTTGGGCACCAGGGACTGGTTCTGTGGAGATAGGATTTTCCAGGGGGATTGGGGACCCCTGATGTAGAACAGTGCCCCCCTAACCTTTTGGGCACCAGAGACTGGTTCTGTGGAGATACGATTTTCCACAGACCAGAGGGGGAGGTGGTTCGCATGATGCCTGAATCCTGCAAATGGGGCTTTGCTTTTTTGCGCGGACCGATTTCTGGCATGCTGTGGACCAATACTGGTCCACGGACTGGGGGTTGCCGACCCCTGGTGTAGAAGGAAAATGGTGAGCCAGGCTAAGCCGGGCCCTCAAGCTGATAGCTGGTGGTGTAACTTCCGCCTCCTCCATGCCATCCCTGCATTAGTGTGAAGGCAGGGAGTAAAATCATGAGACTTAGAAGAGAATACAGGTACTCCTTGACTGACAACAGTTCATTTAGCGACCATGATTCATGTTTGTGGCGGTTGCAATTTCCAGGGATCACGTGATCCGCTTTTGCGACTTTTTGACAAGCAAAGTCAGTGGGGAAGCCAGATTCACTTAACAACCATGTTACTAGCTGAGCAACTGCAGCGATCCACTTTAACAACTGTGACAAGGAAGGTCGTCAAATGGAGCAAGATGAACTTAACAACTGTCTTGCTTAGCCATAGAAATTTGGAGCTGAATTGTAGTCGTAAGCCAAATACTACCTGTATTCATAGATCAGGGTTGAACTGTGGGGTCCTCGGTCACTTTACCCTTCCAGGTTTCCTGCTGCAGAATCCTTGGTGGCCTTTGAAGTTGCTGGTTTCCTTGCAGGCGTTTCATTTCCCGCCTAGGTAACGTCATCAGTGCTGGAAGAGAGTGGGGTATCTCCCTTCCAGCACTGATGATGTTGCCTAGTTTGGTAGTGAAATGTCTGCAAGACAACCACCCAGCACAAAGAGCAACGGAGACCCCGCAATACGAGACTGGGAGGGCAAGCTACAAAAATATAAATAGTTGAATAACCACTGTGCCAGACGAACCTAAATAATAATAAATATAATAAAATAATAAAATTCACGTCACAACTGTCTCACTTAACAACGGAAAATTTGGGCTCGATTGTAAGTCGAGGACTATCTCTATTTTTTAAAAAAATACAAATACAAAAAACCAGGTACATCAGCTGAATAATAATAATAATAATTAATAATAATAATAATAATAATAATAATAATAATAATAATAATAAGTAGTAGTAGTAGTAGTAGTAGTAGTAGTAGTAGTAGTAGTAGTAGTAGTAGTAGTAGTAGTAGTAGTTGGAAGGGACCTTGGAGGTCATCTAGTCCAGGGCTTTTCAACTTTTCACCCATTGTACCACTTTTAGGATATGGCAATATCCGAATACCACCAGCCGCCTAATTGGGTGTCAAAAACTTGACCCAAAAAAGAAAAAGTGATAAAGTACAGGTAGTCCTCGACTTACAACAGTTCGCTTAGTGACTGTTTGAAGTTACAATGGCACTGACAAAGGCGCGGCTGAGGCGCGGCCGAGGAAGACACCTGCCTGCCCACCCGGCGGCGCTCTTCCTTCTGTCCTAGATTTCCATTGTTGTGAGCATTTCTGTTGAGGATTGGCAGTGCGGGTGGGGTGGGGTGATGTTTGGTTTTTATTCCCCCCGTCTGCTGGGAGGTTGCAGCAGGTTTTGGTCACTTCACATGACCCTGGGACACTGTAACTGTCATAAATATGAATCAGTTGCCAAGCTTCTGAATGTAAATCACAAGACCCTGGAGATGCTGCAACATTCCAGCTGATCGGCGCTTCTTGGCTCAGCAGAAGTGCCAGGATCAGTGCTGCTTTCCAGCTGATTGGTGCTTCTTCAGGGCTCAGCAGAAGCACCAGGATCAGCGCGGAGCTCCAGCTGGAGCCTGGCGCTGATCCTGGCGCTTCCACTGAGCCCTGACAGCCCCGAAGCGCCGATCAGCTGGAAAGCGGCACTGATCCTGGTGCTTCTGCTGAGCCCTGACAGCCCTGCTGCTCCAGCCATCTCTCGCTCAGGCTTGTGCAGTGCTGCCACCGGTTCAGCTCATTCCCCTCCCCTGCTACTACTTTTCTAGGATGGTCGCGTACCACCTGCCAGGTGCCAGTGTACCACAGGTGGTACCCGTACCACTGGTTGAAAAGCCCTGATCTAGTCCAACCCACTGCTCAGGCAGGAAACCCTATACCACTTCAGACAAATGGCTGTCCAATCTCTTCTTAAAAACTTCCAGTGTTGGAGCATTCATAGCTTCTGGAGGCAGGTTGTTCCACTGGTTAATTGTTCTAACTGTCAGGAAGTTTCTCCTTAGTTCCAGGTTGCTTCTCTCCTTGATTAGTTTCCATCTGTTGCTTCTTGTCCTGCCTTCAGGGGCTTTGGAGAATAGTTTGACTCCCTCTTCTTTGGGGCAGCCCCTGAGATATTGGAAGACTGCTATCCTGTCCCCCCTCGTCCTTCTCTTCATTAAACTAGATATTCCAGCAGCCGTTCTTTGTATGTTTTAGCCTCCGGTCCCTTGATCATCTTTGTTGCTTTTCTCTGCACTCTTTCTAGAGTCTCAACATTTTTTTTACATCTCTTTACCACTCTTTTGTTTTGTTTTGTTTCTTCACAGGAGCTTGACAAGTTTCCTTTGGAACCAGGTACTGTATTTCCAAAAACCCTCTGCCCCTCCTATGAATTTCCCATTAGGTCTCGCACTCCAGTCCCTTTAGTTACTCTCTTTCCGGTTTTTATCCCATAAGTAGCTTTAGTTCATTATTCTAACCCGGTGCACGGTCCAGCACACCTCCAGAGGAAAAGCCACAGAGATTGGAAATCTGGCCATATCACCAGATCTGCAGGAGCACCTTTGATGTCTTATCGCACAGTGATCAGACTTCCGAGAGAATAATTTGCGCTTTTAAGATCCCCTTCACTGGGGGGGGCAGACCGCGTACCCCCCCAACCCTCCCCCCCCCAGCCTAAAGGAACAGTTAGACGTGCCAAGCAGATCCTGTGATATCGCTCAGGGCTTTGGGACTGTAACGTTAGCTAGAGAGAGATGCAGTTGAAATTGTCAAAGCAGGGACCGACTCTTTTAAGTGGCTACGCGAAGACTTGAAGACGGAAGGTGACGACGGGAGGCCTCTCGCTTTGCTTTCTGGACTCCGCAAACGTATCCGAATCGCTTCCTAATGCTCTTCTGGTGTTCACCTGCGGACTCAGCCTCCTTCAAAGAATATCGGTAAAACCCGCAAGCTGAAACAGTCGAAAAGCATTGAGCCCCCCGTCGGTATAAGCCTCCCCCGCGCATGGAAGCGAGTCTGGGCAAGAATTGGAAAGGCGCCACCCGCCGTTGTGCGAAGACAGCCAGCCAAGCGACCCGCCGGGCAAAGCATCGTGCCTAAAGGTTATTCTTCCTTCTCTCTTTTCAGGCCCTGCTCTGATAGCCGTGTTAGACTGCAGTTGGTTTTAGGCGTGTTGAGTGTGGTTGGCCCAGAGGGTTTTCCAATCTCTGTGTAGCCTTAAGCCCTACTCTCTCCCGGTGTTAGTCGGGCAGCCATGCCCGTCCGGCATTTGTCTTTGCTATGTTTCCCTGGTGATTAAACCTTGTGCCATTCTATTCCTGTTAAATCCATAGAAAATGAGAAAGTGCTCGGCATTTTGGGTGACACTTGTAAATCTCAGCCCCTTAAAGAAGAGACGTCCGAAGCGGAGCGGGCGCAGGAAACGAATAATTCATGGCCGGGCAAACAGGAAGCTGAGGAGGAGGAAGAAGAAGAAGAAGAAGAAGCAGGAGGAGAAGACATGCTGGCCGTCGTCTCTTCCACCCAGTCGGACGAAGACCTTGTAGATACGGACAGCCAGTCAGGCCCAGCGGTGGCCAAGAGCCAAGAGGACGAAGCAAAGCTCTTAGTGGTAGCGAAAGGGGAGCCCAGCGAGCAGACAGTTGAGGAAGCCAAACCGGACTCGGACTCTTTAGCGGTAGAGAGCAGGAGTGGAGGTGGAGGTGGAGGAGGTGGTGATGATGATGATAGTAGCAAAGAAGCTCAAACTCTGGAAGCCAGTAGTGAGGCAACCGTGGAATCGGACACAGGTCCCCAAGTGGTTAGTCCAGAGGCCGAGAAGATGGAAGTGAAGGCTAATGTTGAGGAGGAGCCCTCTTCCACTAGAGACTCCTCTGCCCAAGAGGGTGGTGATCAGAACACGAGGTTTGTTTCTCTCCGTTTTAGACCAGATGCTGTCTTTTTTTCTTGCCCGTTGGTTGTTTATATGAATGCCAAAAAAAAAAAAAAAAAGTGCTGTGATGCCTCCAGCGATCCCGTTGCCGAGGGCCCCCAACGAGACGGTAGCTTATCCTTCGACGTAGAGTTCTCTGGTTTTTATTTTTATTTTATTTTAATTTAATTTTTTCAGTTGTCCTTACCACAGTTTGTTTCCATAGGAGACCGTTTGGCTGGTTGTTGTTTTTTGGTTTTTTTTTTCTTAAGCGTTTTAAAAAAAATAACACACACACACACACACGATAATCTCCATCTTCCAAAGGCTGCATTCTTAATCTTGTATTCTTGATAAGCAGTTAGCTCTCTGGTGGTCTACGGAGAGTTATCTTTGGGTTTTTTTTTTAAAGCCCCCCTCCCAGTAAAGGTCAATATATATATATATATTGGTTTGTCTGGTAGGTATTTGATCGTAGTACCCACTGTCCTGCCTATTCATTTTCCAAGTGGCTTTTTTGCTGGTTGAATAACGTCCTTCTCTTTTTTCTTCCTCGTCTTTAGCTCAAATGAGGAGGCGGAGACTAAAAGTGCTTCGAAAGACGAGAAGGGTAGGCTTCTAGCCATGTATATATAAATATATATCTGTTTTCTGAGGTTTTCGCGGGTGTTTGTATGTAGGTCTTTGGTTATTCGGGTTTTCTCCCGTGTAAAATTGGAAGTGTCTTGGTGATGTTTCGACGAAGTCCCATTCGTCAACTTCAGGCTGGTGTTCTCAGCTTCGTGTTTCAAGGAGCAATGTATGATCATAGCTGTTTCTTCCTTTTAACTTCCAGTGGAGGTATGAACTGATTGGATGGGAGCTTGGCTGTGTTCTGATTGGGTGGAGGTGTGTTCTGATTGGTGAGCTGCATCATTAGCCACCTTAAACCCCTCAGATCCATACATGAAACAAACTGACACCCACCATGAAGATGAGGCACGACCACGAACGCGAAGCCAAATAACAGCAACGCAGCTCACCATCTCAAATCCCCCTGCAATTCAGACTAACCCGAGCACAACAAAGCCCCCACCCAAACAGAACACCCCCCCATCCAATCAGAGCACAGCCAACCCCCCCATCCAATCAGAGTACAGCCAAGCCCCTCACCAATCAGAACACAGCCAAGCTCCCACCCAATCAGTTCATACCTCCACTGGCAGTTAAAAAGAAGAAACAGCTACGATCACACATTGCTCCTAGAAGCACGAAGCCGAAAACACCAGCCTGAAGATGACGAATGGGACTTCGTCGAAACATCACCAAGACACTTCCACTTTTACGCGGGAGAAAACCCGAATAACCAAAGACCTAAATATATATCTGTATGCATACAGCAACTGGTAGTCCTCGGCTTGCAACCGTGCGTTTCGTGGCCATTTGAAGTTAAAAGGCCCCTAAAAATGAACTGATGAAGCTTTTTGGATGAGAAACGAAACGTTTTTGTCCCCAAGAGAAAAAACACGGTCCAGTTGAGCCTTTGAAACAACTGTGTCCTGGATGACTGAGAATCTCCCTAGAGAGGCCTCTAAAAAAGGGACTAATAACCGGTCCTCTCGCGACCGTGACAGCATCGCCACAGTCACGTGATCAAAATCCAGGCGCCTGGCAACTCCCCTGTATTTACAACAATTACAGCATCGGACAAGCAACGTCAATAGAGCTTCAGGACTGCACGATTCACTTAACGGGCTGCCGTGCTTCGCTTAGCAACCTTGGCGAAAAGCTTGTGAAAAGGGGGTGTGAATCACTTAACAGCTCTCTTACTTAGCAACAGAAAATTTTGGTCCCGTTGGTGGTTGCAAGCCGAGGACTAACTTGTACATACTTAATCCTGGCTGTGCCGTTTTAATTTTCCTGTGAATCTGGACACACTTACTAGAAACAGCGAAGTTATTTTTTTTCTCAGCAAAGCAAAGCTGCCGCAACTTTGTGCTCAGTCGTTTCCCTAACACTGCTTACGTAATAATAATAATAATAATAATAATAATAATAATAATAATAATAATAATAATAATAATAATAATAATAATATTGCACAGACTGACTACAAGCAGCAGCATAACAAAGTAGCAACAATGGTGCATTGGAAGATCTACAAAAAATATCATTTGCCTGTAAGCAAAAACTGGTGGGATCATAAAATAGAGAAAGTCATAGAAAATGATAAAATTAAACTGCTCTGTGACTTCAGAATTCAAACAGACAAGCACCTGCAACATAACACCCCAGACTTAACAATTGTCGATAAGAAAGACAAAAAAGTCTGGATAGTGGACGTGGCAGTGCCTGGAGACAGCAGAATAGACGATAAAGAACTGGAGAAGATAACAAAATACAAAGACCTACAAATAGAAATAGAAAGACTGTGGCAAAAGCAAGCAAGGGTAGTACCAATAGTCATAGGCTCCTTGGGTGCAATCCCAAAACAACTGGAGCACCACTTGAACACCATTGGCATTGACAAATTTGCTATTAGTCAATTGCAAAAGGCAGCCTTACTAGGAACTGCTTCCATCCTGTGACGATATCTGTAATACCATTAGACATCCACATCTGCCTATCCCAGGTCCTGGGTAAGGACTCGATAGGTAGACAAAATGCCAAATCCAGTCTGAACATATGGCTGACTGTGCGATGATCCATAATAATAATAATAATAAAGTTGGAAAGGACTTTGGAGGTCATCTAGTCCAACCCCCAGCTCAGGCAGGAAACTCTGTAACATTTTGGACAAATGGGTGTCCAGCCTCTTCTTAAAAACTTCCAGTGTTGGAGCATTCACCACTTCTGGAGGCAGGTTGTTCCACTGGTTAATTGTTCTAACTGTCAGGAAATTTCTCCTTAGTTCTAGGTTGCTTCTCTCCTTGATTAGTTTCCATCCATTGCTTCTTGCCCTGCCTTCAAGTGTTTTGGAGAATAGCTTGACTCCCTCTTCTTTGGGGCAGCCCCTGAGATATTGGAACACTGCTATCATGTCCTCCCTCGTCCTTTTCTTTGTTAAACTAGACATACCCAATTCCCGCAACCGTTCCTTATATGTTTTAGCCTCCAGTCCCCTAATCATCTTTGTTGCTCTTCTCTGCACTCTTTCTAGAGTCTCAGCATCTTTTTTACATCGTGGTGACGAAAACTGGATGCAGTATTCCAAGTGTGGCCTTACCAAGGCATTGTAGAGTGGTATTAACACTTCAAGTGAACTTGATTCTATCCCTCTGTTAATGCAGCCCAGCATTGTATTGTCTTTTTTGGCAGCTGCAGCGCACTGCTGGCTCATATTTAAGTGATTATCCACTAGGACTCCGAGATCCCTTTCACAGTTACTATTATTGAGCAAGGTACCCCCTATACTATAGCTATACATTTGGTTTTTCTTGCCTAAATGTAGAACCTTAGTTTTTCACCATTGAATTTCATTTTGTTAGGTAGCGCCCAGTGTTCAAGTCTGTCCAGATCCTTCTATATCCTAAGCATGTCTCCTGGAGTGTTGGCTATTCCTGCCAGCTTGGTGTCACCTGCAAATTTGATGAGTTCCCCATCTATCTCCTCGTCCAAATCGTTGATGAAGATGTTGAAGAGCCCTGGGCCCAGAACAGAGCCCTGGGACACCCCACTACACACTTCCCTCCATGTAGATGCGGTTCCAATGAGGACCACATGCTGAGTATGGCTGGTCAGCCAGCTACGGATCCATCTGGTGGTGATGCTGTCTAAACTGCATTTTTCTATCTTATCAAGTAGTAGGTTGTGATCTACTTTATCAAATGCCTTACTGAAGTCCAAGTAAATTATGTCCACAGCATTCCTCTGATCCGCTAATTTTGTCACTTGGTCAAAGAATGCAATAAGATTTGTCTGGCATGATCTGTTTTTGACAAACCCATGTTGGCTTTTAGTAGTGATTTTGTTTGCCTCTAGGTGTTCGTTGATTCGTTATTTGATTATCTTTTCAGGTACATTTGGTTGATGCACCTGGTTTTCCTGCACTGCTTTGGGCAGTTCAAAAATGTTTGTATTTTTTTTAACAGAGATAGTCTTGACGTACGACCACAATTGAGCCCAAAATTTCCGTTGTTAAGTGAGACAGTTGTGAGGTGGGTTTTGCCCCATTTTGCGACCTTTCTTGACACAGTTCTTTAAGTGAATCGCTGCAGCTGATAAGTTAGTAACTCGGTTGTAAAGCTGGCTTCCCCCATTGACTTTGCTTCTTAGAAGGTCGCAAAATCACATGACCTTGGGACACAGCAGCGATCATAAATATGAACCAATTGCCAAGCATCTGAATTCTGATCACGTGATCGTGGGGGATGCTGTAAAGGTTGTAACTGAAAAATGGTCGAAAGTCACATTTTTCAGTGCCGTTGTAACTTTGAACGGTCACTAAACGAACCGTTGGGAGTCAAGGACCACCTGTACAAGACATGCAACTTAAGAGTTGGGTGCAAAACTAGCATACCTTTTGAAGTTTGGACCGAACGATCTAGCAAACTTGTTTTTGAGTTTTAGAAGTGCATGATTCATTAGAAACCTACTCCCGTCTCACCTTCCCCTGTTTTTCTTGGTGCTAGTAGCATAATTTAAAACGTGGGTCTTGTCGTTGAAATTTATTAAATGATGGGAAATTAAAAATCCCTGTGAACAGGCTACAAATTGTGCAGAAATTGCTTATTGATTTGAACTCTTTGTCTGCACAGTTCTGGAAAGGGTCCTCTGAGCAATGTCAGATTCTGGAAGGGATGAAATGAAGTCCCAGTGCTTTCTTTTATATTCTCTTATGAACCACATTCATCAAAAAGCAGGAGAAGAAGAAAACAAAATTTGTTTCTCCTGCTTCCAATTCTATTTTCAGTCCTCCCTCGCCCTCTTGATTTCCTGGTGAGTGAGACAGTCGCTTAAATAGGAGCCAGCCGTGTGCTGCAGCTGCCAAAAAAGCCAATACAGTTCTAGGCTGCATTAACAGAGGGATAGAATCAAGATCACATGAAGTGTTAATACCATTTTACAAGGCCTTGATAAGGCCACACTTGGAATACTGCATCCAGTTTTGGTCACCACAATGTAAAAAAGATGTTGAGACTTTAGAAAGAGTACAGAGAAGAGCAACAAAGATGATTAGGGGACTGGAGGCTAAAACATATAAGGAACGGTTGCTAGAATTGGGTATGTCATTAATGAAGAGAAGGACAAGGGGGGACATGATAGCAGTGTTCCAATATCTCAGGGGCTGCCCCAAAGAAGAGGGAGTCAAGCTATTCTCCAAAGCGCCTGAAGTCAGGACAAGAAGCAATGGATGGAAACTAACCCAGGAGAGAAGCAACCTAGAACTAAGGAGAAACTTCCTGACAGTGAGAACAATTAACCAGTGGAACAACCTGCCTCCAGAAGCTGTCAGTGCTCCAACACTGGAAGTTTTTAAGAAGAGACAGGACAGCCATTTGAAATGGTATAGGGTTTCCTGCCTGAGCAGGGGTTTGGACTAGAAGTCCAGTCTCTTCTTAAAAACTTCCAGTGTTGGAGCACTGACAGCTTCTGGAGGAGGTTGTTCCACTGGTTAATTGCTCTAACTATCAGGAAGTTTCTCCTTAGTTCTAGGTTGCTTCTCTCCTTGATTTAGTTTCCATCCGTTGCTTCTTGTCCTGCCTTTGAGTGCTTTGGAGAATAGCTTGACTGCCTCTTCTGTGGGGCAGCCCCTGAGATACCGGAACACTGCTATCATGTCCCCCTTCATCCTTCACTTCATTAAACTAGACATATCCAATTCCAGCAGCCGTTCCTTATATGCTTTAGCCTCCAGTCCCCTAATCATCTTTGTTGCTCTTCTCTGCACTCTTTCTAGAGTTCTAGAGTTGGGTAATGAAACATCTCCAAGAAAACAACCAAGCTCGGAGAGCATCAAGGGCTCCACCAAGGCAATCGGCTACGTTTGGGGGGATTTTTCAACCCGTTGCGTGTTGTAGCAATTGATGTCTTCTCCTCTCCCTTCCCTTCCCTCCCCCCCCCCAATATAGGTCGCTCCTCTGCTAGCTCTGGCAGAAATCTGTGGGTCAGCGGTCTTTCCTCTTCGACCAGAGCGACTGATCTGAAGAACCTGTTTAGCAAATACGGCAAGGTAGGCTGAATAGAAATAAAAAGTGGTACCGCTAAACGTTTTTGTCCGCTCAAGTCTGCAATATTGCCAGATAAATGCTTTGATTAAAATAGTGACTGTCAACGCTGCTAACGTCGAATGTTCTTGCTTTGACAACATATGGAGATGCAGCTGTTTTTTTTAACATGTGTATTACTCTTAGAGTTAGAATTAGATCAGTGTTTCCCAAACTTGACAATTTTAAGGCATGTGGACTTCAACTCCCAGAATTCCACAGTCAGCATTGCTGGCTGTGGAATTCTGGGAGTTGAAGTCCACATGCCTTAAAATTGTCAAGTTTGGGAAACACTGAATTAGATGATACTGGGGGGGGGGGGGGGAGAGGAGGGAGAATGTGTATGGGAATTAGTTAGACCAGTGGTTCTCAACCTGTGGGTCGGGATCCCATTTGGGGTCGAACGACCATTTCACGGGGGTCGCCAAACAACGCAGTCCGCTATTTTTTCCCCCTTTTCCTTAACTGTGCTACTCCCTTTTATTCTATTGGCTTTTGAAAGCCAATAGAATAGACTCTCTTGAATAGAGTCTAATTCTATTGGCTTTCAAGAGCCAATAGGAATTGTCCAGGCTGTCTCTGCCCTGCTGAGCCCACCAAAAGTCCCATTCTGCAAACGGTGCTGCACTAGTTGAGTAGTCCTCGACTTATGACCGGTTGAGTAGTCCCCGACTTACGACCGGTTGGGGGGTAGCGGCATTAAAAAGGTTGAGAACCACTGAGTTAGACATAACAAGATCGTAGCAGTGTGTGTGATTCAAGGTTGTTTGAAATAAGAGATGATAAGAAGTGGCCAGGTTGAAGATTTGGAGGGAAAGCCTGCATTTCAAACTAATTGGAGAACGTGATTTATGACCGTAAATTAGAGGAGGGAGTTGTGCTTTGATGCAATGTGTTCAGGGCAGGGGAATCCAGATTTTGGCTTTGACGATGTACCTGCCGATGCCATGCCAGTCGAATAAAGATTCTTTAAGGTAAACAATGCCTCAAAGTTCTTTGAAGAGTTTCATCCGTCGGAACCATGACATTAAGTCAAAATCTCCAATTTTCCTAACTATCTAGGGCAGTGGTTCTCAACCCTTTTAAGTCGAGGACTACTCAACCGGTCGTAAGTCGAGGACTACTCAACTGGTGCAGCACCGTTTGCAGAATGGGACTTTTGGCGGGCTCAGCAGGGCAGAGACAGCCTGGACAATTCCTATTGGCTTTTGAAAGCCAATAGAATTAGACTCTATTCAAGAGAGTCTATTCTATTGGCTTTCAAAAGCCAATAGAATAAAAGGGAATAGCACAGCTAAGGAAAAGGGGAACAAAATGGCGGACTGCATTGTTTGGCGACCCCCGTGAAATGGTTGTTCGACCCCAAATGGGGTCCCGACCCACAGGTTGAGAACCACTGTTCTAGGGGTCCCAAGCCCCAGCCGTTGTCCCTAGAATTGAGGGATAAACTGCCAAAGATTCGGGGAAGATTTCATCATGGACAAAGAGGAAATGGCTGCATCTCCATATCTTGTCAAAGCAAGAACGTTCGATGTTAGCAGCGTTAACAGTAATTTTAAATTGGAAAAGAGGACTCTACATAAGGGTTATTCTGGGCCACTGTGGCTCCATATTTTTATTTAAGTGGGAATTTTTGGGGGGGGGGTATATTATTCATCTGCCTTTGCTATGGAACGTTGCTCACAGGGAGCTTTATGGGATACTTGCATAATTATTCCCTTGCAAATTGTGTCCTGACAAGTGAACCAATTATTCTAGTTCAGCCATTGAGCTCCCAAGTTCCAAGCTACATAGCTAAAAAGAAATTGCAAGATTTATTATCTAACAGACGGGGGCATCGAGATGTCAAAAATGTGTTCTTCCTGCAAATTTTAAAGTTTGCCAGTAAAATACTTTTTATTATTCTTTTTTTGGGGGTGGTGGTGGCATGCTAGGGTCCATGGGGTTCTGAAGAAGTCGGACATGACAACAAACGCCTGCAAGCAAGGGATGGTTCTGCACATTATGCTAAGCCATAATGTGATCTGCTTGGTTTTGACCTGCTGTGTGGAGTAAACGCAACACGCCGATATGGCTTAGAAACAGCATTTAAAGCTTAGTTGATTTATCATGATTTAGTTAATAAGCCATGGCTAAATAAAGATTATCTTATCTTTATTGTCACTTTTTTCTGTGAACATACTGGCACAAATTAAAAAATGAAATTCTGATGCCCGCTGTCAAACAATGGATGGATGGATGGATGGATGGATGGATGGATGGATGGATGGATGGATGGATAGATGATTGTTATATAGACAGATTGAGATTGGTAGGTGGATGGATGGATAGATAGATAGATAATAGATAGATAGATAGATAGATAGATAGATAGATAGATAGATAGATAGATAGGATAAGATAGCAATAGCACTAGACTTAGATGGATAGATGGATGGATGGATGGATGGGTAGATGACTGATCGATAGATAGATAGATACATACACAGATACATAGATAGGATAAGATAGCAATAGCACTTAGACTTAGATAGATGGATGGATGTGGATGTGGATGTAGATATGGATATAAATATAGATATATAGATATACCCATACCCATACATACATAAACATATTACACATGTGTGTGTGTATATATCAGTGGTTCTCAACCTGTGGGTCGGGACCCCATTTGGGGTCGAACGACCATTTCACGGGGGTCGCCAAACAACGCAGTCCGCCATTTTTTTCCCCTTTTCCTTAGCTGTGCTACTCCCTTTTATTCTATTGGCTTTTGAAAGCCAATAGAATTAGACTCTCTTAAATAGAGTTTAATTCTATTGGCTCTCAAAAGCCAATAGGAATTGTCCAGGCTGTCTCTGCCCTGCTGAGCCCGCCAAAAGTCCCATTCTGCAAACGGTGCTGCACCAGTTGAGTAGTCCTCGACTTACGACCGGTTGAGTAGTCCTCGACTTACGACCGGTTGGGGGTCGCGGCATTAAAAGATAACCACTGGTATATATCATACACACGCACATATGGTATATATATATATATAGAGAGAGAGAGAGAGTTAACAGTTGGTACAATATGGTATAAAGCTATTACAGAATCTAGTTCTGCTTCAGATACCGCGAAGCCTTCTCCCAGGAGATATCTTAAAAAGATTAAATTACTGTTTTAGATACTTTTGGCCTAGATGATTGAGTCTTCGTTTACATGTTACATCTCCCAGAAGGTAACAAACAAATAAACAACAGCTAGTAGGTGTGATGTGTAAACCCAATCAGTGTTTGTCCTCTCTCTCTCTCTCTCTCTCTCTCTCTCTCCCTCTCCCTCCCTCCCTCCCTCCCTCCCTCTCCCCTCTTCCTCCCTCCCTCCCTTTCCCTCTCTGAAGGTGGTAGGTGCTAAAGTAGTCACGAATGCCCGCAGCCCCGGGGCCCGCTGTTACGGCTTCGTCACCATGTCCTCGTCTGAGGAAGCCACCAAATGCATCAGCCACCTCCATAGGACAGAACTGCACGGGAAGATGATTTCGGTGGAAAAAGTGAGTGTTTCCTTGAGCAATGAAATCCAAAGCTCTGTATAAGTGTTCCTCGACTTAACGACCGTAATTGAGCCCAACGTTTCCGTTGCTGAGTGAGACATTTGTTAAGTGAACCTGGCCCCATTTTACGGCCTTTCTTGCCGACAAGTTGTTAAGTGGATCGCTGCAGTCATTAAATGAGTAACAGTTGCTAAGTGGATCTGGCTTCTCCCCCCCACTGCCAGACAGTCGCAAAAGGGGATCGCGTGGCCCCAGGGACCCTGCCGTTGTCACAGATATTGAGTCAGTTGCCAAGCGTCTGAATTTGGATTGCGCGACCGTGGGGATGCTGTCACAGTCGTAACTCTGAAAAATGGTGATCGATCACTTTCTTCGGTGCTGTTGTAACTTTGAACAGTCACTAAATAAACTGTTGTAAGACGAGGATTTACTTTAGTCCCAGCCAGGAGAGGAACTAGCTTCAGTCCCAGCCAATATCAGCCCCAGCCAGGAGAGGAACATGCAGTAGATAAGCTGGCAGTCATAGGAAAGAGACTGGAAGGTCCAGAGATGGGTCCTTCAGCCCTAGATGGCACATGGATCCTGGCCACGATGATGACTTCTTGATCAGCCACAACAAAACGGCCTTCCCTAACTTGAGATCATTCAGATTTCTTGGGACCGCCATTCCCAGAATTCTCTCTGCTATGCTAATGAGGAACTCTGGGAGTGTTGGCCCCAACCTACTTGGAGGTCATCACGTTGGTCTAGGTCAGGGGTAGGCAGCCTTGGCTCTTTTATGACTCGTGGACTTCAACTCCCAGAATTCCTGAGCCAGCCACGCTGAGGGGAAAGGAAGAGGTTGTTTCCAAGCTGAGCCATGCTGGCTCAGGAATTCTGGGAGCTTAAGTCCACGAGTCAGAAAAGAGCCTAGGTTGCCTACCCCTGGGCTAGGTGATTACGTAGATCCAGCCCTACCAGTAGAACATTGGTGAAATGTTACTCTGCTGAATTATCGATAAAGAGAATATTTGGTAGCTCAGGATTGAACTGCTCTCTCAGCTTAGTTGTTTTCTTGCAGACGTTTTATGACCCAACTAGGTAACTTCATCAATGCTAGAAGGGGGTGAGGTTTATGGAGAGGAGGAGGAGGAGGAGGAGGAGGAGGAGAAGGAGAAAAAGGACTGTGGGGTCCTTGGTGCTCTCTGAACTTGGCTGTTTTCTTGCAGAAGTTTCATGAACCAACTAGGTAACTTCATCAATGCTAAAAGTGGGTGAGGTTTATGGAGAGGAGAAGAAGGATTGTGGGGGTCCTTGGTGCTCTCTCAGCTTGGTTGTTTCCTTGCAGACGTTTCATGAGCCAACTAGGGAACATCATCAGGTGCTAGAAGGGAGTGGGGTTTGGGGAAAGGAGGAGGAGGAGGAGGAAAAGGAAAAGGGCTGTGGGGTCCTTAGTGCTCTTTCAGCTTGGTTGTTTCCTTGCAGACGTTTTGTCGAGCCCTCCTGGGCTCGACACACAAAGAAAGGAAAGCTGTCTGGTAGGAAAGCTGACAAGTTTCATGAGCCAACTAGGGAACATCATCAGGTGCTAGAAGGGGGTGGGGTTTGGGGAGAGGTGGAGGAGGAGGAAGAAGAAAAGGGCTGTGGGGTCCTTGGTGCTCTTTCAGCTTGGTAGACGTTTCATGAGCCAACTAGGGAACATCATCAAGGCAGAAGAGAGCAAACCCCATACTCCCTTCTAGCACTGATGGTGTTCCCTAGTTGGCTCATGAAACGTCTGCAAAGAAACAACCAAGCTGAGAGAGCACCAAGGACCCCACAGTCTTCCTTCTCCTCCACTCCACAAAACCCACTTCCTTCTAGCACTGATGATGTTATCTAGTTGGGTCATGAAACGTCTGCAAGGAAACAACCAAGTTCAGAGAGCACCAAGGACCCCATAGTCGTTGTCCTCCTCCTCCTCCTCCTCCTCCTCCTCCTCCTCCTCCTCCTCCTCCTCCTCCTCCTCCTCCCCATCCTCCTACCCATCCTCCTCTTTTCCACAACCCCATGCTCCCTTCTAGCACTGATGGTGTTCCCTAGTTGCCTCCTGAAACGTCTGCAAGGAAACAACCAAGCTGAGAGAGCACCAAAGACCCCCCCCCAGCCTGTTGAATTATTCGGCATACATTTTAGCACATGTTCAGGTCAAAGGAAACACCCAGGAGAAGAATGTTAACCTTTCCACCTTCCTCCACCTCTTACCTTCGTTTTTCTGCATGGAGCATTCGGAGATGATTGCGCTGTGCTTTCTTCCCCCCCCCTGCCTCATCCCGCTTGCGATTCAGAACAGGGACGGTTTTGCTTGCTGTTTGATTTTTCCCGCTCTTCTAGACCGGACCTCTCCAAATCACCCTTCTTTCCTTGTCTGATTCCAGGCCAAAAACGAACCCGCTGGGAAAAAGCCGTTAGCCGAGAAGAAAGAAAGTGACAGCAAGAAGGAAAAAGACAGGCGGCATTCGACGGACTCCAAATCAGAAAAGTAAAACAGGATTGCTCGTTATCTCTTTTTGCTGAAGTTTTCGGGCGGTTCTCTTGTACAGGGAGCGAACAGGCTGCAGCTTTGAATCTCAGCTTGTTCAAACAAGTCATGGTTTTAGGGCAGGGGTAGGCAACCTCGGCCCTTTTATGACACGTGGACTTCAACTCCCAGATTTCCTGAGCCAGCCATGCTGAGGAGAAATGGAGAGGTTTCCATGCTGAGCCATATTGGCTCAGGAATTCTGGGAGTTGAAGTCCACCAGTCATAAAAGAGCCAAGGTTGCCTAACCCTGTTTTAGGGTGTTAAGCAGGTTCTCTCAGCAAGGCGGCAATGATAAACTGGAACTGGGCCACATTCTTATTAGATTTATATCCTGCCTTTATTTTGTATAAATCACCTTCTATTTTCCCTACAAAATTACTCATGCGAATAGCCTGGGCCGAGGGAGAATTACAGGATTTATTGTCTTAACACAACAGAGAGTACCAAGAAGTTAAAAAATGTGTTCTTTCTATACATTTTTAAAGTGGGCCAATAAATTACTTTGGATGTAGATAACCAGTTTTTTTTAGTGGGGACGAGAACCTCTGATCTCCCTGCTTGCTAGCCCAGCAACTCAGTCATTACCTCAAAAAAGGCTGCCTAAAGATTCCCTCCTTGTCTTCTCTTATATCAGGGGTAAGCAACCTTGGCTCTTTTATGACTCGTGGACTTCAAGTCCCAGAATTCCTGAGCCAGCCATGCTGAGGGGAAAGAGAGAAGTTTCCAAGCTGAGCCATGCTGGCTCAGGAATTCTGGGAGTTGAAGTCCACCAGTCATAAAGTGGTCTAGGCCTAGGCCAGAAGTAGGCAACCTTGGCTCTTTTATGACTCGTGGACTTCAACTCCCAGAATTCCTAAGCCAGCCATGCTGAAGGGAAAGGGAAAGGTTTCCAAGCTGAGCCATGCTGGCTCAGGAATTCTGGGAGTTGAAGTCCACGAGTCATCAAAGAGCCAAGGTTGCTTACCCCTGTCTTATACCCAGCAGAATCAAGGCAGACCTAATTTAAGCCTCTTTCTTAAACTTAACCACTTTTCTAGAGCTGAGGTTTATTTGTTTATTACTTGATTTATATCCTGTCTTTATTTTTCATCAACTCCAAGCAGCACACACTCCTGACACTCCCATCTCCTATTTTCCCCTCAACAACAACTCTGAATGAAAGAGGCTGGCCTAACTGGCTTTTCTCTCCAAGGGAGGATTAGAACTCAGGATCTCCTGGTTTCTATTCCAGCACTTTCTCCACTACCCCAAACTGTTTTCTCAAAGATGGACTCAGGTAGTCCTCGACTTAACGGTTCGTTTAGTGACAGTTCGAAGTTGCAAATGCGCTGAAAAAAGTGACTTAACGACCATTTCCCCACACTTACGACCGTTGTGGCATTCCCCGAGATCATGTGATCAAACTTTAGAGATGCTTGGCAACTGATTCATATTTATGACGGTGGCACTGTGTCTTCCTCCGTGTCCCAGGGCTTACGGGTTCACCTTTTGCGACCTTCTGACAAGCAAAGCCAATGGGCAAGGTAGATTCACTTCACAACTGTGTTCCTAACTTCGCATCTGCAGTGATCCACTTAACAACTGTGGCAAGAGAGGTCGTACAATGTGGCAAAATTTCACTTCACGGCTGTCTTGCTTAGCAACTGAAATTTTTGGTTCTGTTGTGATTGTAAAGTCGAGGACTTGCCTGTATGGTTGCTTGTGATCCGCCATCAGTGAACTGTTGGACAGTATTACTTGGTCTGTTGGGTGGATGTTTGGGTGGTTTTAGGGGTGGGGAATTGTGGTGGGTGGGAGTGTGTTTGGGGATTATGTGTATGGGACCTGGTTTTTGGGTGTCACGTAAATTTCGTTGTATGTGTATACTGTGTATACACATAACAATGACAATAAAGTTTATTATTTATGGCTAAGAATTTCAGGAAAATATGAAGGAGGCTAGGTTTATACCAGGGGTTGGCAACCTTGGCTCTTTTGTGACTCGTGGACTTCAACTCCCAGAATTCCTGAGCCAGCCTGGCTCAGCTTGGAAACCTTTCCCTTTCCCCTCAGCGTGGCTGGCTCAGGAATTCTGGGAGTTGAAGTCCACGAGTCATAAAAGAGCCAAGGTTGCCTACCTGTGGTTTATACTCTACCAGCTAGTTTTTTTCAGATTTATATCTGAACGCCACCTTTATTGTACTTCGGCAAGGCATCACCTGGTGGTGCTCTTTCGCTCCAGAGATCAAAGTGATGAATTTTGACTTATGAGGTACGTTGGATAGAGCCTCAGCTGCTGTTTTGATACCGTTGGTAGGTCTCTCAACCTTAAAGAAGAAAAAAACGACAAAAACGAGGACTCTCAAAAAGTGGAGGAGAGTGGAGAGGAAAAGCAGGAAAAAGGAACAGAAGAGCAGAAAAACGGGTCATCTGGACGTTCGCGCTCTGTTAAATCAGGTAATTAAAACTTTCATCGAAGCATTATGGCTTCAGGGCTGAGGGTGAGCTGATCCCTTCATGTGAGCGTGTCCTTTTGCATTTGAAAAATCCACCTGCCTGATGGACACTTTGGAGAACTAAAGCCAGGGGTAGGCAACCTTGGCTCTTTTATGACTCGTGGGCTTCAGCTCCCAGAATTCCTGAGCCAGCCATGCTGAGGGGAAAGAGAGAGGTTTCCAAGCTGAGCCATGCTGGCTCAGGAATTTTGGGAGTTTTAAGTCTACAAGTCATAAAAGAGCCAAGTTTGAAGACCCCTGCTCTTAATCTTCATCCTAGGATAGGGGTAGGCAACCTTGGCTCTTTTATGACTCATGGACTTCAACTCCCAGAATTCCTGAGCCAGCATGACTCAGCATGGAAACCTCTTCCTTTTCCCTCAGCATGGCTGGCTCAGGAATTCTGGGAGTTGAAGTCCACCAGTCATAAAAGAGCCAAGGTTGCCCACCCCTGACCAAAGCCATCTCCTTGGATAATAAGTATCCCTCAAGCTTGGCAACCTCACAAGGCCTGGATTTTAGCTCCCAGAATTCCGCAATTGTGGTAAAGTCCACAAAGGCATGAATTCTGAAAGTGGAAATTGTCACGTCGTCTTCTTAAAAGTTGTAAAGGTGGAGAAACATTCCTGTCCTATGATGTGATTTTGTGCCACTCTAGGAAGCCGAGGAGCCGAGCGAACAGTTGTTCTGGACAAATCCAAAGGGGAGCCGGTGATTAGCGTGAAAGCCGCATCCACCTCAAAAGAGAGAGTAAGTCTTTGCGTTTTACTGTCATGTAATGAAGTAATGTAATGAAGTTCCTGAAGTGGAAACTCAAGGACTTTGGTCACCTAATAAGAAGGAAGGACTCACTGGAGAAGAGCCTGATGCTGGGAAAGATGGAGGGCAAGAGAAGAAGGGGACCTCAGAGAATGAGGTGGCTGGAGGGAGTCACTGAAGCAGCAGGCGTGAGCTTAAAGGGACTCCAGAAGATGGTAGAGGACAGGAAGGCCTAGAGGAACGTTGTCCATGGGGTTGCGATGGGTCGGACACGACTTCGCAACTAATAACAACAACAGTGTAAAGGGGCCAAGACCACACACCCATTCTACAAACCTTCCTAGCTTGATAAAAGTTGGGTCCAGGGATTGACTGTTCAAACCTCGTCTATTACAATTGATTTTTTTTAAGCCACGGCTTTCCATCAAAATTGGTAGAACGTTTGATTGATTGTTTACTTATTTAAATTTGTACGCTGCCCATCTCTGTCTATCCAACTGACTCTAGGTGGCTCAGAATGTCCTAAATGACAGAACAAAATAGTTAACAGGATTGAAACATCGGACTTTAAAAGGGAAAACATTAAAATCAATATAAAAACAGATTTAAAAAAACCCAGTGCACAGACAGGGTGGAGGGGACACGTTTAGTGCTGTGTTTCCCTGAAAATAAGATGCAACCGGAAAAATAAACCCTGGCATGATTTTTCAGGACGCTCGTAATAGAAGCCCCACTCCAAAAATAAGGCCATCAGCCAGACGGACGCATTTAGCACCGTATTTCCCCAACTATAAGCCCTAACTGGAAAATAAGCCCTAATGTGTCTTTTGGAGCAAAAATTAATATAAGACCCGGTCTTATTTTCAGGGGAAACATGATAGTCTACTAACCACTTCCAAAATGGGATGCTCTTACCAGGATCCCAGGCCAGTTGGCCAAGGCAGGTTTTTAGGCTTTTTCAGAAAGGGGGAGGGGAGAATTTCAATTCAAGAGGCACGATATTACAAAGGATGGGAGCCACAGCAGACAAAGTCCTTCTCTTGAGCCCCACCAGGCATAATCCCTTGGCCGACGGGATCCAGAACTGGAGCAGGATTCAGCTGGAGCGTGTGGGGCAGGCCATAATAGAATAGAATAGGGCTGGAAGGGACCTTGGAGGTCTACTAGTCCAGCCCCCCCCCCCACTCAAGCAGGAGAACCTATACCAGGGGTGTCAAACTTGCGAGATCACGTGACGTCGCGCAACGTATCGGGCTGGTTTTGCCATTGTCGGCAATGGGGTGGGCGCGGCTTCAGTATGATGAAACTGGCCTGCGGGCCGGCAGTTTGACACCCCTGCCCTATACCATTTCAGACAAGTGACTGTCCAGTCTCTTCTTAAAAACCTCCAGTGAGGGAGCGCCCACGATTTCTGAAGTCCACCCCCCCCCCCGGTTCTCTTGGCTGCAGAGTATGGGCGCCCAGCTGCTCAGAAACGGAAGGCCCCGGGAGTAAAAAACGCAGGCGCTACATCCCCATCCTTTCCCCCCCTTTCTGCTTCGTTTCAGAGCACCAAAAGCCACGACCGCAAGTCGGAGAGCAAAGAGAAGCAAGACATTCTGTCGTTCGATAAAATCAAGGAGCAGCGGGAGCGGGAGCGCCAGAGGCAACGCGAACGGGAGATCCGAGAGACGGAACGGAGGAGGTGGGTTGGCGTTGGCTCCTCGCCACGTTCCTAACCCCCAAACGGTCGCCGGGGCAGGGGTTCCTCGGCTTTAGCCACCATCCGTTTGGTGTCCGATCCAAGTTACAGTAGCACTGAAAGAAAGTGACTTTGGAACTTACGGTTACGACCGTTGCAGCATACTCGCGGTACCGTGATCAAAATTCAGACGCTTGGCCATATTTATGAAGGTCGTGGCGTCCCAGGGTCACTTTTGCAACCCGACCAGTGGAGTCAACGGGGACGCCCGATTGGCTTAACAACCGTAGCAAGAAAATTGGTAAAATGGGGCAAAACTCAACTGAACAACTGTCCACCGTAGCAACAGAAATTTTGGGCTCAACTGTGGTCGTAAGTCGAGGACCACCTGCATCCATTGGGATGCTGCACCCTGTGTACCAAATGGGCGGAGCTTGCATTGATTTTGCTCTTTTAATGAGAGCATTGTATCCTGTGGACACCTCTGCTTAATAATAATAAAGTTGGAAGGGACCTTGGAGGTCATCTAGTCCAACCCCCTGCTCAGGCAGGAGAACCTATACTATTTCAGGCAAATGGCTGTCTAGTCTCTTCTTAAAAACCCCCAGTGTTGGAGCATTCACCGCTCCTGGAGGCAGGTTGTTCCACTGGTTAATTGTTCTAACTGTCAGGAAGTTTCTCCTTAGTTCTAGGTTTCTAATCTCCTTGATTAGTTTCCATCCGTTGCTTCTTGTCCTGTCTTCAGGTGTTTTGGAGAATAGCTTGACTCCCTCTTCTTTCTGGCAGCCCCTGAGATAGTGGAAGACTGCTATCATTTTATTTATTTATTTATTTCTAAAATTTATATGCTGCCCAATCCCAAGGGACTCAGGGCGACGTACAAAATTAAAACAATAATCTAACAATAAAATAAATACATTCATACAGCGTGTCCGATCATATCCCGCCCCCCCCCCCCGGGGACATCAGCCCCAGGCCTGCCGGAACAGGAGAGTTTTAATGGCTTTCTTAAAGGCTGACAGGGTGGGAGTAGTTCGAACCTTGGGGGGAAGTTGATTCCACCAGGTCGGAGCCACCACAGAAAAGGCCCTTCCCCGAGGGCCCGCCAGCCGACATTATCTGGCCGATGGGACCTGAAGGAGGCCCAATCTATGGGACCTCACCGGTCTCTGGGAACTGTGCGGCAGTATGCGGTCCTGTAAGAAACCTGGCCCTATGCCATGAAGGGCTTTAAAGGTGATAACCAACACCTTGAATTGCGTCCGGAGACCCACAGGAAGCCAGTGCAGCTCGCGGAGGTTAGGTGACACATGGGCGTACCTTGGCGCACCCACAATCACTCTCGTGGCTGCATTCTGAACCAACTGCAGCCTCCGAATGCTCTTCAAGGGTAGCCCCATGTAGAACGCGTTACAGTAATCCAGTCTTTGAGGACATTGACAAATGTCCCCCTTTGTCCTTCTCTTCATGAAACTAGACCTACCTAATTCCAGCAACCGTTCCTTATATGTTTTAGCCTCCAATCCCCTAATCATCTTTGTTGCATTCACCCATCCTTATAATAATAAGGATGGGTGAATGCAACATTCACCGCTTCTGGAGGCAGGTTGTTCCACTGGTTAATTGTTCTCACTGTCAGGAAGTTTCTCCTTAGTTCCAGGTTGCTTCTCTCCTTGATTAGTTTCCATCCGTTGCTTCTCGTGGCTTCAGCTCCCAGAATTTCCCAGCCAGCAGGGGGATTCTGGGAGCCGAAGTCCACAACTCTTAAAAGTTGCCAAGGTTGGACACCCCTGCGAATAAGCAACCTGTTTGAAAACAGTCATCAACCTGGTGAGCTGTCAGCTGGGCTTTCTTTTGATCACTTTGAACTTCTCTCAAAGTCCTTGATAAATAGGATGCTGAGGTCGCCCTTCTTGGCTCGCTTCCAAAGTGGACGAAAGAGCCGCCTGGTGTCAGCTGTGTAGCACTGGACCGGTTTTTTTTAAAAAACGGTTCTTGTTTTTCGTGCGTCCTTGTCGCAGCTCAGCAGGCTCCGGTCCAACTTTGCCCCAGCTGAGCTGAGCTGTTTCCCCTCTTCTTTTGAAACCCTCCTGTCTCCGTGCAACAACCAGAGAGGATTATCCTGGCATGAATCTGCGGTCTGTTGACATGATCTATTATGCAGCTGTCGCTTTCCTCCCGGGATCCACTCTCTGTTTGGGCGTCATGGAGGTTTGAGTCAGTTGCTGAGTGAAATCTTCCGTATTTCTCCAGTGCCGCCTCCTTATTGCAAGCAGATATTTTAAAGAGCTCTTTATTATGTATGAACGCGCTGCGTTTTTCCACTTAATGGATCGTACGTCAGCAGGCTGGCGGAGCTCTTTCTCTTGATTAAATGTTGTCAGGGGTCTTTTTTTTTGTCCGTGTGACAAGTAATTATTAATATTGGAAGAAGCCTTTCCCTCTCCTTCCCCCTCCCTCTCCATTACCTGCATATTCCCTTCTAAATTTGACACACTCCATTCATTTGAGACACTCACTTCACTTCCACATTCTCTTCTTTCGTTTCCCCCAATCGGGCAGGTGGGTGCAGTGTGCTGGATTTTTTTTTTTTTTAAAAAAAAATTCATTTAAAATTTTATTTATATATATCACACCTTTATTATATTTACAAATATCTCAAGGTGGCGAACTTATCCTATACACCTTCCTCCTGTTTTCCCCATAACAATAACCCTGTGAGGTGGGTTGGGCTGAGAGAGACTGGCTCAAAGTCACACAGCCAGCTTGCACGCCCAAGGCAGGACTAGAACTCGCCGTCTTCTGATGGTTGGCCAACTTGGCTGGCTTTCATGCCCAAAGTGGGACTACATCTCACCGTCTCCTGGTGATTGGCCAACCCAGCCAGGTTTCATGCCTAAGGCGGGATTAGAACTCACCGTCTCCTGGTGATTGGCCAACCCAGCCAGCTTTCATGCCTAAAGGGGATTAGAACTCTCCGGGTGATTGGCCCAAAGTCACCCAGCCAGCTTTCATGCCTAAGGCGGGACTACAACTCACAGTCTGCTGGTGATTGGCCCAAAGTCACCCAGCCAGCTTTCATATCTAAGGAGGGACTAGAACCCACAGTCTCCTGGTGATTGGCCCAAAGTCACCCAGATAGCTATCATGGCTAAATCAGGACTTGGAATTCACAATGACCTGCTATGACCCTGGAATGCAGCAAATTTCATAAATATGAGCCAGTTGCCAAGCGTCTGAATTTTGATCATGTGACCATAGGGATGCTGCAATGGTCACAAGTGTAAAAAACGGTCATAAGTCACTTTTTTTTCAATGCCATTATAACTTTGAACGGTCACTAAACATTTATAAGTCGAAGACGAACTGTGTTAACATTTAAGTATTAAAATGTCCTCTATCCTGATAGGTTCCACTGAGCACACAGAGAATGACCACTGAGTTGAGATTGTGGCAAGAAAAGACTTAAAGCAGATCTATTTTTTCCTAGGAATGACTGCAATTCTTTTAAATGGTGTGTCTGAAATGTTTTCCCTAAGAGTACAAAATAAAAATAATTTTATAATCCAGCAGGATAGGGCAGTAAAATGTAAGGCTATTGTCAGTCGCCATAATTTCTTCTTCAAGCAAAGCTAATTAAAATTAATGCTTTAAAAGTTACTGAAGCTAGCTCCCATTTAAATTCGCATTTCTTTCTATCCGCCTTTCCTGATAAAAGGAAAACTTTTTTCCTTTTTAATAAAGTACCAGATTACAACGGAAAAAGTAATACCAGCTACGCCATTAAACAAAATTAAATCTATAAACGGCCACAACATAAATGCTTCTTAACATTATATTTAGCTAATTGCTTTTCAGTAAGACTCAGAATTTCTCCATGATCAGATGCAGGGGCTATAAACAAATCACTTTCATACTTTTAATTGAGGGGGGGGGGAAAGCAATGTTTCATGTCTGGCTTGCCTGGTTTTAAATACAGAGCAACCTCTCATGACATAGAAGGCCTCTGTTGTTGTCCTCTAAAATGGTTTGCCAATATCTCAGATTCTAGCCATGGCCAGAATTTAGTTTCTTGAAAATAACCTTGGATTTAGCTCACATCACTTTAGGCAGGGGTCCCCAACCTATGGGCTCTTGGCCCGCGGGCTGCAGAAATGACTGGCCAGGGCATACACATGTGGGTGTGCATTCCCCCCCCCCACTTGCGGTAGCGCTCACGGCCCTGTTTGCACATGTGTGCGGGCATGAACGGAAACCCTAGTGTGGGGGGAGCGTGCGCGCCCTGTTTTTGCATGCGTGAACGGGCCGATAGTGTGGAGGGACATGTGTCCCCCCGTTTGTGCATGCGTGAACAGGCTGCTAGCGCGGGAGTGTGTGCGTGGCCCATTTGCACATGCATGAATGGGCGCTACCCACCCTGGGGGTGCACAGCTGTTTGCGCATGGTCGGTCCCTCGTCATCTCTGGGGCAGCCCCACGGGCCAGATGTGGCCCACGGGCCTTGAGTTTGACACGGCTGTTCCACTCTCTTGCTGAGATTCAGCCTTGCCACCTCCCCCGTGCAAACCCCCTCTCGCTTTCCATGTGTGAACCCAGGGAACGGGAGCGGAAGGAGCGGGACCAGCACTCACAGGAGGCCCAGGAATCAGACGAGAGGCAGCGGCTGCAAAAGGAGCGGGAACGGCTGCACATCCAGAAGCAACGGCTGGAGCGAGAGCGGATGGAGCGGGAACGGTTGGAGCGGGAGCGGATGCGCATCGAGCAGGAGCGGCGGAGGGAGCAGGAGCGCATCCACCGGGAGCGGGAGGAGTTACGGCGGCAGCACGAGCAGCTGCGCTACGAGCAGGAGCGCCGTTCGGCCTTGCGGAGGCCCTACAACGACGGACGGTGAGAGAGTCAGCTTGTAAGGCAGGAGTGCCAACCTGGCACCTGGCTGTCCTTTCCCTTTAAGTCAAACTCGGAGCTTCTGTAACTGCCTGCGTGTTTTGTAAGCATTTTACCTTGTGGGCCTTTTGTTCTCTGCTCTTTCTGGTCAGATCCTGCATCTGTTGGCCCTAACATTCTTAACCCAAAAGACCAACGCAGTCCTAGGTTGCATTAACAGAGGGACAGAATCAAGATCACGTGAAGCGTTAGTACCGCTTTACAATGCCTTGGTAAGGCCACACTTGGAATCCTGCCTCCAGTTTTGGTCAGCATATTATAAATAAAGATGTTGAGACTCTGGAAAGAGTGCAGAGAAGAGCAACAAAGATGACTAGGGGAGTGAAGGCTAAAACTTAGGAAGAATATTTGCAGGAATTGGGTATGTCTAGTCTAGTCAACAAAAAGACTAGGGTTGATATGATAAGGGGCTGCCACAAAGAAGAGGGGGGGGTCAACCTATTCCCCAAAGCACCTGAGGGCAGGACAAGAAGCAATGAATGGAAACTAATCAAGGAGAGACGCAACCTAAGGAGAAATTTCCTGACAGTGAGAACAATTAATCAGTGGAACAGCTTCCCTACAGAATTCTTGGGTGCTCCATCACTGGAGGTTTTAAAGAAGAGACTGAATACCTGTTTGTCTGGAATGGCTTGAACAGAGGGTTGGACTAGAGCAGGGCTTTTCAACCTTTTCACCCATTGTACCACTTTTAGAATACGGCAACATCCGAGTACCACCAGTCGCCTAGCAAGGTGTCAAAAACTTGATAACCCCCCCAAAAAAAGTGATAAAGTACAGGTAGTCCTCGACTTACAACAGTTCGCTTAGTGACTATTCGAAGTTACAATAGCACTCAAAAAAGTGCCCCCCAAGCCACAGCCGAGCAAGACACCTGCCTGCCCACCCGGCAGCGCTCTTCCTCCTGTCCGAGGTTTTCATTGTTGTGAGCATTTCTGTTGAGGATTGGCAGCAGAAGTGGGGGGCGGTGTTTGGTTTTTATTCCCCCCCCCCTCTGCTGGGTGGTTGCAGCAGGTTTGGGTCACTTCACATGACCCTGGGACCCTTTGACCATCATAAATATGAATCAGTTGCCAAGCATCTGAATGTAAATCACAAGACCCTGGAGATGCTGCAACATTCCAGCTGATCGGCGCTTCTTCTGGGCTCAGCAGAAGCACCAGGATCAGTGCTGCTTTCCAGCGGATTGGTGCTTCTTCAGGGCTCAGCAGAAGCGCCAGGATCAGCACCGAGCTCCAGCTGGATCCTGGCGCTGATCCTGGCGCTTCCGCTGAGCCCTGACAGCCCTGCAGCTCCAGCCATCTCTCGCTCAGGCTTGTGCGGTGCTGCCACCGCTTCAGCTCATTCCCCTCCCCTGCTACGACTTTTCTAGGATGGTCGCGTACCACCTGCCAGGTGCCAGTGTACCACAGGTGGTAACCATACCACTGGTTGAAAAGCCCTGCACTAGATGGCCTTCCAACTCTCTTATTCTGTATGAAAGCTGATTGGATGACTTTGGGCCAGTCCCTCCCTCTCTCTCAGCCCAACCCACCTTACAGGAGTGTTGTGGAGAAAAAGGAAGGGAGTATTTATTATGTGTGTTTGCTGTCTTGAGTTACTTAATAAAGACAGGCTAAACATCTAAAAAGTAAATGCGTATTATAAATAAATGGCCGAAACGGCAACCCACGTCTGTCTGGAACCGGAGTGCTGATAACCTGTTGAATCTGGGACTCTTTGCAGCCGTGACGATGGTTACTGGCCAGAGCCAAAGCGGATGGCCATGGACGACCGATACCATTCGGACTTCAGCCGGCAGGATCGCTTCCACGGCTTTGATCACAGGGATCGTGGCCGCTACCAAGACCACTTCGGGGACAGGTAAGTAGCCAGCCGTGCCCTCCCGTGTAGCTCAGGGCTCTCAACACACAAACCAAACGAGGGGCAAGTTGGCTAGCCTGAAGGCGCCACTCTGAAGCCAGTTTCACCCAGGGCTTCCAGAATCCTTGTAGAGCAGTGGTTCTCAACCTTTTTAATGCCGCGACCCCCAACCGGTCGTAAGTCGAGGACTACTCAACCGGTCGTAAGTCGAGGACTACTCAACTGGTGCAGCACCGTTTGCAGAATGGGACTTTTGGCGGGCTCAGCAGGGCAGAGACAGCCTGGACAATTCCTATTGGCTTTTGAAAGCCAATAGAATTAGACTCTATTCAAGAGAGTCTATTCTATTGGCTTTCAAAAGCCAATAGAATAAAAGGGAGTAGCACAGCTAAGGAAAAGGGGGAAAAAATGGCAGACTGCGTTGTTTGGCGACCCCCGTGAAATGGTCGTTCGACCCCAAATGGGGTCCCGACCCACAGGTTGAGAACCACTGTTGTAGAGAATTAAAAATGTCTGAGGCATTCAAGAGGGTCAAGGTGACCGTCCATTTATTAAACCCTCAACTCCTCAACCATCATTCTCTTTCTTGTGAAAGTCATTTCACGTCGGCTTCCTCCATGTCAGCATTTGGCATTAAACCTGAACGGTACCATTTGGTTTTATTGCTCATCTGTGGTCGTTTCTTCAAGTTCAGTGCCTTTACAATATTCTTGCAGGCCAGAGGGCAGCACATGGGCTACCGCCTGCAAGGGTTTTGGTCCCGCCAGTTATGGCTAGAACTCGACTTTCATTCGGTTATTTATTGCTGAAACTGTGAAAAATGTTTCATATGCCACTATTCATCTTCCTTTGGATACTTGGAACGGAGAGGGTCCCATCGGCTTTTTGACAGCTCAGTGACAGGCAGGCCCCTTTTCTTAATAAAGTTGATTCTGTTTCAAGAAAAAAAATCAACATACAAAATAACTGCCGGTAAAAAAGGAGTAGAGATAAAAAAAAAAAAATTGAAAAGGGGTTAAAATGTGGGGGAATAAAAGGGAAAAAAAAAACAGGGAAAAGACCTAACTTCCTTCAGCGCAGATACATAATCAGATATAGGTAATCCTTGACTTAACCACCGTTTGTTTAGTGACCGTTTGGGGTTACAACAGCGCTGACCAAAGTCACAACTGTTTTTTCATAATGACTGTCGAGAGCGTCCCCTGTGGTCATGTGATCAAATTTCAGACGCTTGGCAACTGAGTCACATTTATGACAGTTGCATTGTCCCTGGGTCCAGGTGATCACCATTTATAACCTTCCCAGCTGGCTTCCAACAAAATCAATGGCTAGATAATGCTTAACAGCCCCACGATTCCTTTAACAACTTCAGTGCTTCACTTAACTGGAGCAAAAAAAGGTTGTAAAATGGGGCAAAACACACTTAACAATTTGCCTTGCCAAGCAACAGAAATTTTGGACTCAGCTGCGGTCATAAGTCGAGGACTGCCTGTAATCTTTTACCCTACTAAACATAGCATAACTAATATCTAACCTTTAAGTTTCACGGCCTTTCTGGAGTCCTAAAAGACATCCAGAAACCCAAGCCCAAAATTCAGAAATACCTATCCACCCTTCTCGAACAAGATCATCCAAATTTCTTGGAGGTCATTTAAAAGATCATTTAAAATTTCTGATTTTAAAACAAACCTGAACAAAATCTTAGAATAACTATAACAGTCAATTCCATCAAATGACAGCTAGATGCTTTTCAGGAAGGGAATCGTGGCATGATAGCCAAGTATCGCTTAGGTGTGGAAGAATTTGCTTCCTTTTTCTGGGGTCCCATAAAAGATAAAAGAGCAAGGAATTGCAGCATCCCTGGGAGGGTTTTCAGAGCCACTTGAGGATAATACCATGTTTTGTGTGCACTTGAAATTCTCTGTGTATGAGAGAAAATGCTTGGTATAGGTCAGGGGTCTTCAAACTTGGCCTTTTTATGACTTGTGGACTTCAGTTCCCAGAATTCCTCAGCCAGCATGCTTGAAGTAAAACTAAATAAGGTTATCCACCATAGATTAATCCAGGGGTCTTCAAACTTGGCCCTTTTATGACTTGTGGACTTCAACTCCCAGAATTCCTCAGCCAGGCACGCATCTGGGAGTTGAAGTCCACAAGTCATAAAAGGGCCAAGTTTGAAGACCCCTGGTATAAGTGATGGCGGGACAATTAATTTTATAATTGGGATACCTTATTTCGTAAGGAATTGAACGTAATATGGCTATATTTCTTTTATCCTTTCTATCTGTTCCATTCTCTTATTGATATCATTGTTACTATTATTATTTGATATTATGATTACTATTACTTTGTTGTTTGGCATGTACTCAGAACTTATGCACCGGAGACAAAATTCTTTGTGTGTCTATCACACTTGCCCAGTAAAGTATTCTAATTTAGTAATTTAATCAATTCCTTTTTTTTTTTTTTTTTGGTCTCAGCATTGCCCCTTTTTGGGGAGATTGTTTTTGGCAACATTGTACACAGATTTCCATACTTGCAGATCAAAATTGGACAGACACTATTTACTGGGGAGGTGAAAATCACTAGGATTGACTCCAGTTGGTGGTAACGTTCATTGACAAGGTAGAAAATAAAGGCATCTGCACGCTGATAAAGATATCTATTGATACTTTTTCCGCGTGGCGGTGGGAATCGCCTCAACTTCATAATTATTTTAAATTTCTGATCAATACATGCATGGCGGATAACTTCCTTTTTCCCCTTCTAGGAGAGAAAGTTCAAGGATGGTGCCAGACCGAGATGGACAGGTATGCTTGGCTTGAACTGTGGTGTGAATTGTTAAAAATTCCTGTCTCTTGCTCAAAAACTGCCCAGTTTTTATCCCAAAGGTGCTTTTTTTTTTTTCTTCACGAGGCAACTGGACTTTTTTGTTTTTCTTGAAGACGTTTCACTTCTCATCCAAGAAGCTTCTTCGGCTCTGACTGGATGGTGGGGAAAGGAAGGATTTATACTCCTCGCAGACAACCGGTCATTTGCCTTCTTTGAGAGAGTAGTTGAGGCCACTTGGGGGTTTATCTGTGTTCTCAGGGTCACCCGAGTGGTGCAAATGGCTGTGGAGCTGCCTTGGAACTGCTGAAAGGACTCTGTTGTAGCCTGGAGATGGACGATGTAGTATCCCTTCCCCTCTGTTCAGAGAGGGCTGTTCAATTTTGACACAGATGGCCTCTTTGACCCCCTTTCAAACGAGCGGTGATCTCTGTCCAAAATGTGGCCGTCTATGTCAAAACTGAACAGCCGTCTCTCAACCGAGGGGGACGGATACAACATCGTCTATCTCCAGGCTACAACACCATCCTTTCAGCCGTTCCAAGAAGGCTCCACACCCATTTGCACCACTCGGGTGACCCTGAGGACACAGGTAAGCCTCCAGGTGGCCTCAATGACTCTAAAAAGATGCAAATGACCAGCTGACTGCAAGGAGTATAAATCCTCCATTCCCCACCATCCAGTCAGAGCCGAAGAAGCTTTTGGGATGAGAAGCTTCTTGGATGAGATTAGGGGACTGGAGGCTAAAACATGCAAGGAACGGTTGATGGAATTGGGTATGTCCAGTTTAATGAAGAGAAGGACGAGGGAGGACATGATAGCAGTCTTCCAGTTTCTCAGGGGCTGCCCCAAAGAAGAGGGAGTCAAGCTATTCTCCAAAGCGCCTGAAGGCAGGACAAGAAGCAACGGGTGGAAACTAACCAAGGAGAAAAGCAACCTGGAACTAAGGAGAAACTTCCTGACAGTGAGAACAATTAACCAGTGGAACAACCTGCCTCCAGAAGCTGTGAATATTCCAACAATGGAAGTTTTTAAGAAGAGACTGGACAGCCATTAGTCTGAAACGGTGTAGGGTTTCCTGCCTGAGCAGGGGGTTGGACTAGAAGACCTCCAAGGTCCCTTCCAACTTTATTATCATTATCATTATTATTAGAGGTGAAATGTCTTCAAGAAAAACAAGAAAGTCCAATTGCCTCGTGAAAAAAAAATCACTTTTGGGACAACCGTGACCTCTGGATGATGGAGAATCTCCATGCCCAGTTTTTAAAAGTTTAGGATTTACAATTTCAAGGGGGCAGGTCCAGAGCAGTGGTTCTCAATCTTTTTAATGCCGCGACCCCCAACCGGTCGTAAGTCGAGGACTACTCAACCGGTCGTAAGTCGAGGACTACTCAACTGGTGCAGCACCGTTTGCAGCATGGGACTTTTGGCGGGCTCAGCAGGGCAGAGACAGCCTGGACAATTCCTATTGGCTTTTGAAAGCCAATAGAATTAGACTCTATTCAAGAGAGTCTATTCTATTGGCTTTCAAAAGCCAATAGAATAAAAGGGAGTAGCACAGCTAAGGAAAAGGGGGGGGGGAAATGGCGGACTGCGTTGTTTGGCGACCCCCGTGAAATGGTCGTTCGACTCCAAATGGGGTCCCGACCCACAGATTGAGAACCACTGGTCTGGAGCCAAAGGTGGATCACAAGGGCTCGCTCGGATTGTGTTTCGGGGGTGATCCACACGTCCGTTGTCCATCGAAGGAAGATCGTAGAGAGCACCCCTGTCGTTCACAGCTTGCCTTTGGGACAAGCCAGTTTTACAGGTAGTCCTCGACTTACAACCGTTCATTTAGTGACCCTTTGAAGTTACAACGCCACTGGAAAAAAGGGACTGATGACCGTTCTTCACACTTTACGACGGTTGCAGCATCCCCCTGGTCACGTGACTGAAATTCGGACGCTTGGCAACCGGTTCATATTTACGACGGTCACAATGTTCCGGGATCATATGATCCCCTTTTGCAACCTTCTGACAAGCAAAGTTCATGGGGAAGCCAGATTCAATTTAACAGCTGTGTGACTAACTTAACAATGGCAGAGACTCGCCTAACAATCGTGGCAAGGAAGGTCATAAAACGGGGCAAAATTCACTTAGCGAGTGTCTCATTTAGCAACAAATTTTGGGCTCCGTTGTGGTTGTAAGTCGAGGGCTACCTCCGTTTTGTCTTTAGAGGTCTGCCTCTGAGTTTTGTGTGGGCTGCTCTCCTGCCTGGTCTTTTTTTACACCTGGCCCCTCATTGACACCAGACTGCAAATGAGCCATTAAAAATTGGACCGTGAAATTAGAAACTTCCTCATCCAAAGTCAGATTTCGTTTCATGCAGACACTCCCTTTCTGCGGCGATTAAGCTCCAAGTGGATTTGCTACAGATGTAAGGGCGACAAGATCACCATTTATTCCAAACTATGAAGTGTTTTTTTTTTTTAATGTTTTTGAGGGAAGAGCTGGCTTTCATGTTCAGCTGCAGGGCCCACTGACGAGTGCCCCAAAGGCGTACCGGTAGCTAGCATTTAGCAATAGCATTTAGGTCAGTGTTTCTCAACCTTGACCATTTTAAGGCATGTGGACTTCAACTCCCAGAATTCCACAGCCAGCAATGCTGGCTGTGGAATTCTGGGAGTTGAAGTCCACATGCCTTAAAATGGTCAAGGTTGAGAAACACTGATTTAGGTTAATATGCCCTCCCCATAAACACTTTACAGCACTGTCTTGGTGGTTTACAATGTAGAAGCAGTTGTTTGCCTCTTGCCCCCAACAATCTGGGTCCTCATTTGACCAGCCTCAGAAGGATGGAAGGCTGAGTCAACCTTGAGCCCCGTCAGGATCGAACTCCAGGCTGGGGGCACAGCTTGCTTGCAGTACTATATTCTAACCACTGTGCCATCCCGGCTCCTCTATTAAACTAGTGGTTGTAAATCAAGGGATAGCGATAGCTAGCTAGGATGGATGGATGGATGGATGGATGGAGAGATGGATGGAGAGATGGATGGAGAGATGGATGGAGAGATAGAGATACGATAGGTAGGTAGGTAGGTAGGTAGGTAGGTAGGTAGGTAGGTAGGTAGGTAGATAGATAGATAGATAGATAGATAGATAAATAGATAGAATAAGATAGCAATAGCGCTTAGACTTATATACCGCTTCACAGTGCTTTATAAACCTCTTTAAGTTTATACAGCCAGCATCTTGCCCTTCCAACAATCTAGGTCCTCATTTTATGGACCTCCAGAAGGATGGAAGGCCGTGTCAAGATAGGTAGGTAGGTAGGTAGGTAGGTATAGATCAGTGGTTCTCAATCTGTGGGTCGGGACCCCATTTGGGGTCGAACGACCATTTCACGGGGGTTGCCAAACAAGGCTGTCCGCCATTTTTTCCCCCTTTTCTTTGGCCACGCCCCTGGCACCCGGTGATGTATAAGTGGTTGGGGGTCACCACAACATGGGGAACTGTATTATAGGGTCACGGCATTAGAAAGGTTGAGAACCACTGGTATAGATAGATAGATAGATAGATAGATAGATAGATAGATAGATAGATAGATAGATAGATAGATAGATAGATAGATATTGCTTTACAAGCCTTTCTAAGTGGTTTACATAGCCAGCATTTTGCTCTGTTAATCTGGGTCCTCATTTTATGGACCTATGGAAGGATGGAGGTAGGTAGATAAGATAAGCATTACCGGGGAGAGGATATTTAAATGTTTGATGGCTGTACACGTGACCTCAGCTGATGCTTCAGGACCTGAGTTGAGATGAAATTCTACAAGGTTTTCATGAGTCAAAAAAATAAATAATCAGCTTTAGCACGATGGCACTAAGTGATGCTGGATACTGTCCTGCAGATGGCAAAGGTTGATGAATTTTGACATTCCGAAGGCAGTAATCTCAAACATCTTTTGTGAACATCTCCTTCACTGGCATTCGCCAGCAGATGCTGGCTGCAGTGGAAACTAAGATACTGGGCCTCAAGTAAGACGATTGGCCACATTTTCAGGCATTTATTCGCAATAGCGCTTAGACTTATATACCGCTTCACCGTGCTTTATAGCCCTCTCCAAGCAGTTTACAGAGTCAGCCTGTTGCCCACCCCCGCCCCGCGCCCTTCCCCCAGCAATCTAGGTCCTCATTTTACGGACCTCCGGAAGGATGGAAGGCTGAGTCAACCTCGAGCCCCATCAGGAGGCAGTGGCTGGCAGGGAGCAGGGAGTCGGCCTGCAGTGCTGCATTTGTAACCGCTGCGCCACCAGGCCTTAGAGCTGCCCCCTTAAACCTTAACAGGCTTGTCCTTTTACACTAGTGGCCAGAATTGTGGCAATCTTTTGGGACAAGTGGACAGTAGAAATGCCACCTTTGGTTAAGTTTCCACCCGTTTTTCTTCTAATTTCTTTATAACTGTAGCCTTGTTCACTTAATAATACTATTTTACATCGCTTTCTGGGTGACCAGTCAACTCTCGGCACCATTGCTTTAATTTTATTGCATTTTACAAGCTCACTCAATGAAAGAACACAAAAAAACCTCAACCAACTTGATAGCCATCACGTAACACACTGACAAATGCCCTCCTCTCAGCTTCAATACAGGACATCAGTCACCGGATCTTACTGTGATCCGATTGGCTCATTGCCAAAACAAGATGACACCCGATTGGCTCCCTAAACACTCACGCTCATTGGCTACAATCAGATGAAGGACAGCCACCTGATACCAACCTAAGCAAGTTGTGCTTCCTTTTTCCGGTGATTTGGCTATAACCTTTCATAGAATACAGTACAGATAATTGCACGAACTTCGTTGCGTTAACGTTCTTGATTAAATTATCTTTCCATTGATATGTAATTTTATGGTACTGCTCCCCCCCCCAAAAAAAGTGGTGTTACTAGCCATCCAACCTCGAATGTACACTTTTTCCACAAGGTTTCCACAATTTGGGCCACTACTGTAGAGATGGACCATTTTGTGTCGAGAAGCTTAGTAACCTGATATTTGGCCCCTCTCTTTTCAGCACCATCCCGACGAGAGGCCTGGGCCTCCCCACGATCGCCATTCGCGGGACGGCTGGGCGGGTTACGGGTCAGAGCGGAGGCTGAGCAGAGGCCGAGGTTTACCTCCCCCATCCCGGTGAGTTTATTTAACGAGGAAGAGGCGCCTTTCCGCCGTGTTTTCCCGGAGAAAGAAAGCAAGAGGGGCACGTACATACATATACAGGTAATCCTCCACTTAACGACCACGATTTGAGCCCAAAATTTCCACTGCTGAGCCAGATAGTCGTTAAGTGAGTTTCAACCCTCCCCCTTTCATGACCTTTCTTGCCGCAGTTGTTAAGGGAATCACTGCGGTTGTACAACAACAACAACAATAATAATAATAATAATAATAAAGTTGAAAGGGACCTTGGAGGTCATCTAGTCCAACCTCCTACTCAGGCAGGAAACCCTATATCATTTCAGACCAATGGCTGTCCAGTCTCTTCTTTAAAAACTTCCAGTGTTGGAGCTTTCACCGCTTCTGGAGGCAGGTTGTTCCACTGGTTAATTGTCCTCATTGTCAGGAAGTTTTTCCTTAGTTCCAGGTTGCTTCTCTCTTTGGTTAGTTTCCACCCGTTGCTTCTTGTCCTGCCTTCAGGCGCTTTGGAGAATAGCTTGACTCCCTCTTCTTTGGGGCAGCCCCTGAGATACTGGAAGACTGCCATGATGTCCCCCCTCGTCCTTCTCTTCATTAAATTAGACCAGTGGTGGCGAACCTATGACACGGGTACCAGAGGCGGCACTCGGAGCCTCTCTGTGGGCACGCGTGCCGTTGTCCCAGTCTCGCCTCCCCCATGACCCCCTCCTCTCCAGCAGCCCCCCTGGAGGAGAGTCGCCCCCGAGCATGGCCCACACGGAGCAGCGCGGCCAAGGACATGGCAGCCAGGCAGCGTACACAAGACTGCCCTCATGCCCCATCGTGCACAGTTGATGCTACAGGGCGTGGGCAGAGGGCGTTCCTGCTCCGCTGGCCCTCACCCAGGCATTCTCCCTGGCCTGGCCCACTCAGTCATCCTCCTGAAACGAGTTCTTTTTAAATTGTCCCATTCTCGTTGCAACTTGAAATTAGCTTTTTAAATGCTTTGTGGTCTTAATGTCAACAAATGGGCCCATCCAGCTGCCTGTCGCGGGCACAAGCCGGTTCTTGTAGTTTCATTTTCAGGAAATAATCTCTGGATGGTTGGACTGGGCATTCAAGAAGAAATATGGAAGAACTGGGAGAGCCTTGACATATTTTGCCCCCGAAATAACAACTTTCTTGTTCTTCTTGTTCTTCTTCTTGTTCTTCTTCTTGTTCTTGTTCTTGTTCTTCTTCTTCTTCTTCTTCTTCTTCTTCTTCTTCTTCTTCTTCTTCTTCTTCTTCTTCTTCTTCTTCTTCTTCTTCTTCTTCTTCTTCTTCTTCTTCTTCTTCTTCTTCTTCTTCTTCTTCTTCTTCTTCTCCTCCTCCTCCTCTTCCTCCTCTTTCTCCTCCTCCTCTTCCTCCTCTTTCTTCTCCTCCTCCTCCTCCTTCTTCTCATCCTCCTCCCCCTCTTCCTCCTCTTTCTTCTTCTTCTCCTCCTCCTCCTTTTAGCACTGATGATGTTAGCTGGTTGGGTAATGAAACATCTGCAAGAAAACAAACTCAGAGAGCACCAAGGACCCCACACTCCTCCTCCTCCTCTTACTTCTTCTTCTTCTCCTCCTCCTCTTCCTCCTCCTCTTTATTATTATTATTATTATTATTATTATTATTATTATTATTATTATTATTATTACTCAAGAGAGTGAAGGTATGTTCCTCTTTCCTCCCATTTTCCCACGACAACCATGGGAGATGGGCTGAGGGACTGACCCAAAGGCACCTAGCCAGTTTTCTTACCTAAGGTGGGACTAGAACTCACCGTCTCCTGTTGATTGGCCCAAAGTCACCCTGCTGGCTTCCATGGCTAAGGCAGGACTAGAACTCCTTGTCTCCCGATGATTGACTTAAGAGTCACCCAGCACCTTCCACATCAAAGGCAGAACTAGAAATTCCCATCTCCTGGCGATGGGCCCAAAGTCACCCAGCTGTTTTTCCATACCTAAGACCGAAGGAGTAGAACTCTCCATCGCCTGGTGTTTGGTTCGGAGTCACCCAGCCAGCTTTTCATATAACTAGGTCGGGACTACAACTCTCCGTCTCCCGGTTTCCAGCCTGGTCCCTTCGCTGCTAGACCAAACCGTCAATCCATCCTAAAGCTCCAGGGCGACCCCAGGCAGCCCCCCCCCCTTGTCTAAAATACTTCAGAACTAAAGCAATTGCTTTTTGGTTTGTTTGTTTGTTTGTTTGTTTTTTGCCCACAGGCGTGGAGAATTTGCACAAGGCGGATCGCAGCACTCGGTCGGGCCAGCGCCCAACATGCCAGGCGGTTTTGCAAGCCAGGATAGGACAAGCCGGCCGGCTGACCCGCGTTTCGCTCACCGTTATTGAAGATTTTCCTTTTCCGACACGACTCTATGGCAAGCAGGCTCTGTGGAATTTTGCTCCCCTGGTTATGGCCTCGGAACTGTTTTGTTTCCTGAAACAGACGCCCACCACAGTAGCTTGCAGAGGATGTGAACTCAGTTGTGTTTTGTGTCTGTGTGAGTGTGTGTGTGTGTGTTCCCTCCTTCCCCCTTTCTGCTCTGGATATGTTCTTACCGGGACACCGCTCAGTTGTTTCGCAGGAAACATTCCATTTTCCACCAATAATAAATCTTACTGTATTGAGCTGGTGGGAGAGTGATTGGGGCGGCTGATAAACGATGAACTGGAACGTTTCCCATGAATTCAATGGTGAAAAAAGTAAGGTTTTACATTTAGGCAAGAAAAACCAAGTGTACGGGTATAGTATAGGGGGTACCTTGCTCAATAGTAGTAACTATGAGGGGGAGTCCTAGTGGACAATCACCTAAATAGGAGCCAGCCTTGTGCTGCAGCTGCCAAAAAAGCCAACACAGTGCTCGGCTGCATTAACAGAGGGATAGAATCAAGAACACGTGAAGTATTAATACCACTTTACAATGTCTTGGTAAGGCCACACTTGGAATACTGCATCCAGTTTTGGTCACCACGATGTAAAAAAGATGTTGAGACTCTAGAAATTAGAGTGCAGAGAAGAGCAACAAAGTGGATCAGGGGACTAGAGGTTAAAACATATGAGGCACGGTTGCTGGAATTGGGTGTGTCTAGTTTAATGAAGAGAAGGACGAAGGGGGGCATGATAGCAGTCTTCCAATATCTCAGGGGCTGCCCCAAAGAAGAGGGAGTCAAGCTGTTCTCCAAAGCCCCCGAAGGCAGGATAAGAAGCAACGGATGGAAACTCATCAAGGAGAGAAACAACCTAGAACTAAGGAGAAACTTCCTGACAGTTAGAACAATTAACCATTGGAACAACCTGTCTCCAGAAGTTGTGAATGCTCCAACACTGGAAGTTTTTGAGAAGAGACTGGACAGCCATTTGTCTGAAATGGGATAGGGTTTCCTCCCTGAGCAGGGGGTTGGATTAGATGACCTCCAAGGTCCCTTCCAACTTTATTATTATAAGGATGGGTGAATGCAGGTCATCCTCAACTTATGACTACAACTGAGCTGAAAACTTCCATTGCGACACAAGATAGTTCAGTGAGTGGTGCCCCATTTTACGACCTTCCTTGCCACAGTTGTTAAGTGAATCACTGCAGTTTTTAAATTAGTCGCGCGGTTGTTAAGTGGATCTGACTTCCCCCCCGCTTGACTTTGCTTGCCAGAAGGTTGCAAAAGGGGGAATCACGTGACCGCCGGGACAATGCAACCATCATAAATATGAGTCAGTTGCCGAGAATCTGGATTTTGAGCACAGGGCTGTGGGGATGCTGCAGTGTGTGAAAAACCATATTACGTCATGCTTTTCAGTGCTGTTGTAACTTTGAATGGTTGTAAGTTGAGGACTGTCTGTATTCAGTTTGGCCCACGCTCAATCTTGCATTGGCGTGTTGGGCAAGCGTAGGTGTTAGTAGGCGGGCACAGTACCCAGAGAAAAAGATAAAAAATTATAGTTTGAAAGGGAATGAGAAAAAGCAGAGGGCAAGATTGATTTTGGGGGACAGTGTTTCTTAACCGTGACAATTTTAAGATGGATGGACTTCCAACTCCCAGAATTCTCCAGCGCTGGAGATGGAGAATCCACCAATGGGTTGAGACTGTATTCCTGCCCAATCAGATCAATCAGCCAAAGTTGCCACGCCCGTCCTGGACCACGAGATCCCCAGTCTTGACTGATCTCGCCCACTGGACAGACATGCAAGTTTGGCTCTTAGGCAAGTAGAGTCTCCATTGGTGGATTTCATTTCCAGTAGCTTAGATTATTTCCTTTGAATTAGATCATTTGCCAAATTCTAAAATTTCCATCCCAAAAATACTAGTGATATCTAAATTTCTCCTTTACTGAGGAGGTATCCATTGGTGGATTCTCCATCTCCGTGCTGAGAAAAGGCGTTCAGGTAAGACAACGCCCCTTCCCCAGCCTGCATGCTTTTACGATGGGTGGACTTCAGCTCCCAGAATTCCCCAGCCTGCATGCTTTAAGACAGGTGGACTTCAGCTCCCAGAATTCCCCAGCCTGCATGCTTTAAGACAGGTGGACTTCAGCTCCCAGAATTCCCCAGCCTGCATGCTTTAAAATGGGTGGACTCCCACAATTCCCCAGCCAGCTTCCTTTAAAATGGGTGGACTTCAGCTCCCAGAATGCCCTAGCCAGCTTCCTTTAAGAGAGGAGAACCTCAACTCCCAGAGTTGGCTGTTGGATCTAGCTGATGACTTCCTTCTCCGTGCGTTTGGCGTTTCCAAGGAATGCAGGAAAGAACGGAGATGCCTTTGAGATTTTTATTTTTTTTTTTAAATCTTGGGAGGTTTTATTAGCATTCTCTCAAAAAGCAGAGGGAGAAGCCTGGCCTGCTACAAAGAGAAGTTTTTGCTTCCAGCGATGATGTCCTCGTTTGAAGGATTCCTTTGAAGTCCTCCAGGGTCTTGTCGGAAATAAAATTGGGCGGCTGAAACGGACGGAGGAGGCAAGCTGCAGAAGGAAAAGAACAAAGCCATGGAAATTTGAGTGGCTGGCAAGGAGGAGCCTCGCTTATTCGAATGGGTGTGTTTTTGCAATTGTAGAAAGATGGCAGGCACGCCAGAGGTCATCCAGTCCCACCCTCTGTTTGATGCTTGGCCTGAACGACCAGACAGAATAGACTTGGGTGGGCGTGGCTGTGGTGGTCATGGCAGACTGGGTGGGTGTGGCTAAGGTGGGAGTGGTCACCTCAATGTTGCTCGTGGGGAGGGACGCCTGTGGGGGCTGGGCAGGGTTCAGGGAGATCCAGGGGGTCTCTGGCAGATGGGGCAGTGGGCAGGAGGTTCATCCTGCATGGCGAGGCAGGGCGGGGGTGCCATTGCCGCGGGGCAAGGAGAGGCAGGGGCTGCCTGACACCATCGGCCCTCGCACACAGGCCAGCGAGCGCATGAGGGCCGACAGTGTCAGCCACAGCCGGCCAGCCCCTCGACCCACGCACTGGGGCTCCACAGCCTGCCGCCAGCAGTTCAGAGAAGCTGCCTCAGCTGGATGGCTGGCCAACAGCTGAGGAGGCGATGCAGTGGGTCGTGCCCAGGAAAAAGAGCATGCGAGGCCAGGAGGGAGGGGACGAGGGGGGAGGGAAACCAGCCGTGCTGGGATGCATCCGGCCACGTGGGGCCTCGGCAAGTTAGCAGGCAGCTGATTGAAGAGGGACGGTTGTCATCTCCGAGGCATGGCACGCGTGCCTACAAAGAGGGCTCTGAGTGCCACCTCTGGCACGCATGCCATAGGTTCGCCATCACTAACCTAGTCCAATAACACGCTTATCCATACATATATCAGTTTACATCAGTGGTTCTCAACCTTTTTACAGCCGCGACCCCGGTCGTAAGTCGAGGATTACCAGCCCGAGAGTGCTGCGCATGCGTGGTGCCGCCCCCTGCGCCGGCTGAGGCATAGCCGGCAAGGGGCGGTGGCAGGCAGGCCCTGGCAGCCACGGCGGGCAGGGCGACCACTGGCTGGGCCGCCAGCTGGCCCAGCCCAAGGCAGGTAAGGCGCCCGCTGTGCCTCACGTGTGCCAGCAACCCTCCCTGCGCCCGCCGCTGCCCCGCTGGGTGGCAGCAGGCAGGCCCAGGCACTCCTGGGCAGCCACGGCAGCCACGGTGCAGGGCAACCACCGGCTGGGCCACCAGCTGGCCCAGCCCAAGGCGCGCCAGCAACCCTCCCTGCGCCCACTGGCCTCCCACCTCCCACTCCCGGCCCTCTTTTACTTACTTTTTAGTTGCTCAGCAGGGAGGGAAGCTCTGCAGACTGTTCCCCTTGCAGCACCGTTTTCAGACTGGGGCTTTTGGCGGGCTCAGCAGGGCAGAGACAGCCTGGACAATTACTATTGGCTTTTGAAAGCCAATAGAATTAGACTCTATTCAAGAGAGTCTATTCTATTGGCTTTTGAAAGCAAATAGAATAAGGGGGAGTAGCAGAGCTAAGGAAAAGGGGAAAAAATGGCGGAAAAAACGGCGGATCACGTTGTTTGGCGACCCCCGTGAAATGGTCATTCGACCCCAAATGGGGTCGCAACCCACAGGTTGAGAACCGCTGGTTTACATCATCAAAAATTTCCTCTCTGTTTCACTTAGTTATTATACCAAATTCAAATTAATAAATTGCTAGTTATAACTCAATCATTTAAAACATTTATAAACAACTCTTTAAATTATGTCTCCAGATCCTGTTTTTGACTTTTGTCTGGTTTCAATTACAATGTTCCAGTTGGCTTAGTGTCCAATAATGTTTAAATTTCGGATAACCCACAGTTCCCTTAGAATTGTTAGAATTATTTCTAATTCTAAGATCAGGAGTGACACGATAACAGTGCACCAATATTTGGGGGCTGCCACAAAGAAGGTGGTGGTGGGGGGTGTCAACCTCTTCTCCAAAGCGCCTGAAGGCAGGACAAGAAGCAACGGATGGAAACTCATCAAGGAGAGAAGCAACCTAGAACTAAGGAGCTAAACGGGGTTGGACTAGATGACCTCCAAGGTCCCTTTCAATACTGTGACTCCTGTTCCCTTTCCTCTGTGATAAAGATTCTGTTGTGTTCTGATTATTTTTTAACGAGGAGGGATTAAGACTCAAAGACTGGGAATTGCTAGACCCCTGCTGTTCTATTTTTTTTTAAATTATCATTAGTACTGTATGGAACAAGCTACCATAGATGGTAAAATAGAACAATATGCAACGGTTAAGATGTGAATCTCGGCTAACCAACAATGCTGTCAAAATGAAGACCAAACCTTCCTGAAGTTGTTCGTGGTTGAATTTGGGAATTTGGGCACTAAACTAGATGTCCTGCCATTAAACAATGTCTTTCTCCTTCTGAAACACACAAAGCATCTACTTTCCGTTGCAAAATGCAAAATCTAGGTGACTGGATGACCTCATCTCTGCTTTTCAAGTCTCCCATTGGTCGGCGTCTCCTCCCTGCGATTTTTTAACTCGCCACCAGATGGCAGTAGGGATTAACCAATAGAGTATCTTGCTTCCCCCCCCCTTTTAAATTAACTTTATTTTTTTTCTTTTTCTTTCTTTTTGGAATGTATATAATAATTTAATTGTCTCCACCTCCAGTGAATTTGCAAGCTAAGCTACTTCAGGATGCCTCGGTCAGATGGGATGCCTAGGAGCCTTTA